TGAGCGAACTCATGGGTGGGTGGAACTTATGAGTGGGCCTTATGGGCATACTCACCGTCAGGCCCTGGGGCCCAGACCTTGAGCTGTGTAAGGGCCCCAAAAAATGGAGCTGCTTCCAATTCTCCCAGAACATTGAATTTTGTGACCACAGTTGCAAACAGCCTCCAGAGATCCTCTTCTACACCAGACCAGTGGAGCCAAACTGCAGCCCATCATCATCCTCATCTGCTTGTAAGTAGGCAATCTAGTATATTATTAGTGACACTAATCTATAATTTACCTCACATTAAAGGGACACTATAGCTTAATGAAGTGGTTCTGGTGTCTATAGCTGGTCCCTGCAGGTTTTTTAATGTAAACACACACTGTGTGCAGCACTGGCGTTAGTTCATATGGCAGGTCATATGGGTGGGGCATTGTGATGTGACATGTGGGGGCAGCAAATTTTTATTTTGTCTAGGGCGGCAAAAATCCTTGCACCAGCTCTGATCCTGGGCAGGTGCACCAGTCTACTTGACTGGTTTTGCCCCCAGGCCTAAGGCTGCCAGCCCTCCCCTGGCCGCTGGGGAGGTCTTTTGGCGGCCGCTGGCGGACTTGTCCTGGCGGCCGCTGAGGGAGCTGCGCAAGCTGCGCTGGCTCTGCTCCCCAGCACGCAGCTGAATGAGACCGGCGCCGGAATATGACGTCATATTCCGGCGCCAGTCTCATTCAGCAGCGCGCGAGGGCGGGAGGGCACTAACACGGGAAGCACCTCTAGTGACCATCTGAGTGACTGTCACTAGCAGTGTCACTTTGAAGCAATGTAAACACTGCCTTTTGTCTGAAAAGTCAGTGTTTACGTTGAAAAGCCTTTAGGGACATGCTATAGACACCAGTACCACCACATTAAGCTGTGTGTGTGCGCCTGCTAGTGAGTGAGCTTGCTTGCATGCGTGTGCCTGCTAGTGAGTGAGCTTGTGTTTTTATGTCAATGAGCTGATGTATATCAGTAAGATTGTTTGTCTATGAGGCTGTGTATGAGCTTGTGTGTGTCACTGAAATGTCAGTGAAATTGCCTGTGTCTGCATGTGAGTATGCTTACTGTATAATTAAACGTTTTACCCTGAAAGGACCAATATTTTATATTAGAAAAGCAATATATATATATATATATAATATATATATATATATAATTACTCAATCATCTGTCCTGGCAAGACATAGCCTTACATATTACACGCGACAATATATGGCGCAGTGACTTATGGGGCTGGCACAATTTTTTTTTCCAGGGCTGCTTTGTATCCCCAGTCCGGCCCTGCGTGGCTCGCTCGGTATCCTAAACGGCGGAATTCGTTGCTGTTGGTGGATGGGTTTTCGTCGGGGTTTTGGATTCCTCTTGTCCCCTCGGCGGGAAGGGTAGGGAAGGGATATTATGGGAAAAACTGGACAAAGAGGTACGTTTGGGGAGGATGGCGGGGCCGTTTGACCGCTCGCCGTTTGAGAATCTGCGAGTGTCGCCGTTGGGTTTGGTCCCCAAGAAGGAGGAGGGGGCTTATCACATGATTCATCATCTATCCTATCCAGCAGGTGAGTCTGTTAACGACGGTTGACAAGGAGTTCAGCCGCGTGCGGTACGCATCGTTTGACAGGGCTTTGGAGTTGGTCAGGGAAGCCGGTGTAGGAGCCTGGTTGGCAAAGTCCGACATTGACTTGGCTTTTTGCTTGTTACCAGTCCACCCGGAGTGTCATCACCTCCTCGGTTGCCACTTTGAAGGTAGTTACTACTATGACATGTGTCTTCCGATGGGGTGTGCTATTTCCTGCTCCTATTTCGAGTCCTTTGCCTCGTTTCTGGAATGGGTAGTAATTCAGGTTTCGGGTTACGGTTCAGTGACCCATTATTTAGACGATTGGCAAACGGGGGACTGGGGTATGCAGGAACCTTCTGCGTGTTTTTCGGGAAGTGTCAGCGGATTTTGGCGTGCCGGTCGCGGAACGGAAGACGGAGGGCCCAGCGTAGGTGCTGTCTTTCCTTGGAGTGGAAATTGATTCCGCCAACATGATCTTTCGGTTGCCGGATGACAAGGTCGCGGTGCTGTTTCGATGGGTCGACCTAGTCAAAGGGGCGAACAAGGTGCAGTTGAGGCAGATGCAGGTGCTGCTGGGTCACCTGGCATTCGCATATCGGGTTTTGCCGATGGGACGGGCGTTTTGTCGCCGGCTCTCCTTGGCGACGGTGGGGATTCGGGAGCCATATCATTTTATACGGGTTACAAGAAAGCTCAAAGCGGACTTACAAGTGTGGAGTTCCTTCTTGGAGAGGTACAATGGCCGGTCATGTTGGCTGCGAGCTGCGGTTGGTAACTCGGTGTTGGAACTCTTCACAGATGCGTCCGGCTCCTTCGGCTTCGGGGCATACTTCCGGGGCCGGTGGTGTGCGGAGGCCTGGCCGGAGAGTTGGCAAGGAAAGGATCTCATGCGCAACCTGACCTTCCTGGAGCGCTTCCCGATTGTAGTGGCTATGGAGTTGTGGGGACATGATTTGCGGGACCGAACGGTTGATTTTCACACGGACAACATGAGTGTTGTCCATGTGATTAATCGTGCGATGTCGGCATCGCCGCTGGTTCTGGTGTTGCTGAGGCGCTTGGTCCTGTTGAGTTTGCAGTATAATGTGTGGGTTAGGGCATGTCATGTGCCGGGAGTGTTAAATATCGTGGCTGATGTGCTTTCTCGGTTCCACTGGCAGCGTTTCCGAGAGGCGGCACCGGAGGCGGAGCGGGTGGGGCAGCCTTGCCTACAGTCTTTATGGGAGCTCGGTTCCGAAGATTGATGGGGCTGGTGACGGAGTCATTGTCGGCATCCTCGTGGAAGTGTGGTCTAAGTGGCTCGGGTTGGTGTCGGGGGAGAGTAGCCAGGAGTCGGACTCGGGGCGTTTTGAGGTAACCTTACTGTTTTTGGAGCAAATGTTGGAGGAAGGGCGGTCATGTGCCGCAGCGGAGAAGGCCCTGTCGGCCTTGTCTTTATTGTTTAGGTTCCTGGGTTGGAGGGACATTACCAGGGAATTTAGCATTCAGAGAGCCCTGCGTGGGTGGTGACGGAGGAGGGTCCCGGATCGGAGGAGGCCTATTTCAGTGCAGCTTCTGTGGGAGCTCCTGGTGGCGCTGAGGTGGGTGTGTAGTTCAGAGTATGAAGCGTTGTTGTTCGGGGTTGCTTTTTCGTTGTGCTTTTTTGGGGCGTTGCGGGTCGAGGAGGTGGTGGCCGCGAGCCGTCGGGCGGAGCCACCGCTGGTGTTGTCGGACGTGCGGTGGGCGGCCAGGGGTCTAGACATTAAGATCCGTAAGTCCAAGACGGATCAAAGAGGTGAAGGTGTGTGGGTACATATTGATGCGGCGGGGGGAGTTTTGCCTAGTGCACCTGTTTCGGAGATTCTTGGAGGTCCGCCCTGCGGCCGGGGGTTCTCTCCTGGTGCATCAGGACGGATCGCCGATGACGCAATATCAGAAGGAGCCCGCTAGGGTACTCGGCCCATTCCTTTCGGATTGGGGCAGCCACGCAGATTAGTGGGATGGGATTTGCACCGGCAGCGGTGCAGAGGTTGGGTCGGTGGAGTTCTGGGAGGTTCCAGTTGTATGTACGGCCACATCTATTGTAGGGTTTAAGGCTCGGGGTGAGTAGCAGTTTCTTCCCGTTCAGTTTCTGTTTGTTCATTCTAGGTTCACTTCCGCGCTACGTATGGATATTAGGGCATTCCTACATATATTGGGCAGAGAGGCGGGCGGAGGAGCGCCCTTATGGCCGCAACGTGGGATTTTCCTATGACCAAGTGCGGGTTCGATGGAGGGGCATTCGGGGGTTGTCATGGAGCCAGGTGTACCCAGAGTGCCGTTTCCTGAGCAGGTTTGTTCCCAGTTCGGTTATATTGGTCATTCATGCAGGGGGGAATGACCTGGGTAGGGTCCGGACAGTGGATCTAATTCACTGCATGAAGGATGAGATCACTCTTTGCATGGCACTGTTTCGGGATGTAACGTTGGTGTGGTCGGAGGTGATTCCTAGGCCCTGTTGGCAGCTGTTGCCTTATGCAAAAGGGCTGGAGCGTAGCAGGCGCAAGCTGAATATGACAGTGTCGAGGTTTGTACGTCGGCTTGGGGGGTTCGTGGTCCGGCACGCTGAGTTAGAAGGAGATAACAGCAAGTTGATGCGGTCCGATGGAGTCCATTTAAGTGTAATTGGTCTGGATATCTTCAATGTGGGGATGCAAAGCGGGATTGAAAAGGCGCTGGCGGCGGGGGGCGCGATGCCGGAGGAGGGCGTATGAGGCCAGCATCGCGGTGGCGGAATACCTGGCCAGCGCATGGGAAGGCAAGTGCCAAGTGGGATTGGGGAGTCGCAGTCTGCTTGGGCTGAAAGTGGAAGGCAGGCTGCTTTGGACTCTGGTAAAAGGATGTGAGATCTGTCTGATGGATGAATCACCCCATCAGCTGACAGTTGGTATTAATGCTGGCAAAAATGTTAAATAAAGCTGTGGCCGTTGCCCTTATCCATTATACAGGTGTCGTGTGTTTATTGGGCAACGGATGGGTTAATGGGTCTGCAGTCAAGGGTTTCAATGAACTGGCTAAGGAAGGGAAAGACATGACTGCTGCCCAGGAATGGGGAATGGATTAAATGGGATACATATGTAGCAAAGGGGACCGGTATATAGATGAAGCTGGGGGTGGGCCCTTGACACTCAGCAGGAAGAGAGATATCTGACAGGAGCTTTCCCACCCTCCCTCCCTGTGTTGGTCAATGTTAGTAGTAGGTGGTGGTGGTGGTGTTTTCTCGGTGTCTGGTTGTCTCTGTTTTTGTTTTGTCTCAGCGGAATACCTGGCCAGCGCATGGGAAGGCAAGTGCCAAGTCGGATTGGGGAGTCGCAGTCTGCTTGGGCTGAAGGCGGAAGGCAGGCTGCTTTGGACTCTGGTAAAAGGATGTGAGATCTGTCTGATGGATGAATCACCCCATCAGCTGACAGTTGGTATTAATGCTGGCAAAAATGTTAAATAAAACTGTGGCCGTTGCCCTTATCCATTATACAGGTGTTGTGTGTTTATTGGGCAACGGATGGGTTAATGGGTCTGCAGTCAAGTGTCATGGCACTTGGCACCACTCTCCTGCTCCTGGCCGCCTTCTGCGTCCTAGAGGTTGTCCAAGGACAATAATACAAACAATGATGTCTATGAGAACTTTTATTGTTTATATAGCCCTAGAGTGCTCCACCTTCAGGTGGTGTCATGTGACTCAGCCAATTTAACCCAGAGTGCATCCTAATCAGTGCTTGGTTCTAAACTCCCTGTTCCTGATTCATGACACCGTGTGATTTTCCTGTTTCCTGAACTGCCTCTGGATTCCCTCTTGACCACGCCTTCTCGCTGTCTGCCCTGATCTTTGGACCACCTCTTGTCTCCTTCTTCTCAGATCCCACTGCCTGGTACCTTTTTTCTTATAAAAGACCCATGTGCCACCAGTGATCTATCAGAGCCCTGATCTCACCTCCACGTACCCCTGAGGGTTGTGATTGTAAAGGAGTACTGTTCCAGATTGTCACATTGGAGAAGGAATTTTTTCCTATTTTTTTGCTAAATTGGGCGAAAAACTGAACTTGTTGGACACATGTCTTTTTTCAGCCAATGTAACTATGAACACCAGATGAGAAAACATCACATATCTAGATATTCACCTATGACTGTGACCTTTATTTTGTATGAAACCGTAACTAATAGATGCAACTGAAATAATAGAAGCCTGTCCAGTTTATACTAGCCAAAAATAAAAAATAATGCAAATAGCACATTACATATAAATGTAACTAGTGCAATAATAAAAATGTTCGCATATAAGCATCCCGTTTGTATCCATTACTGGTACTTGGTGATACAATCACTTTCATATGCATAGAATATAGTTTAACTTTAGGAGAAACGTGAAAAGTATACATGTGCTTAGCACAATTCACTTGTTCCAGGGCAGCAATAGTCTCCATGGAACAGGCTCATTGGGGTCCTTAGGTTAAAATGATTGACCTACAAGTGGCTTTCTACAGAGTAACTGGAGTGGCTTTATGGAGCAGCATAAAACATTTAATACTTAGAAATCAATAGAACTTAAAGGAACAGAAAACAAACCTGTATCCCTAACAGTTTGTTCCTAGTTACATAGTCCTACCCCATGTGTTAGGTAAAAGTAATAAAATAAAGAGTTTTTACATACTTTTTTCAGCACCAAGGCTCCCTCTGCGTTACTTACCTCTCGTTCTCCCATGACATGATGGCGGAGAAATTGCTTTGTCCATCGTTGGTCCAATACAATGCTCCTCATAAAGAACCTTTGAGGGACTTTGAGTTTTACTCAGTCTGTGCTGTGGAAAGCCTATGAAATTGCAATGGTTTGCATTAAAGTACCACTGCACACAGGCCACTTGATTGAGATGAAGTGCTTTGGGTGACTTTAGTGGTCCTTTAATATGCCAAATCATGTAAAACTGCTATGGTTCTAGTCACACACGGTTAAGGGGGAGGCTGGCATAAGTGGGCGAATGAGACCTCACATTAACATCATTGTAGTTTGCAAGTAGCGACTGCAACATAAGAAGAACATCCATTGAATAATCTGCAGCAATACCAGAATTGGGAGGGCAGCTAGCAAAGTGATTTCTTCCTGAAACAGTCAAGGGATATATAGATTTCTTAATTAGGACAAGTTTTTATATAATCCTCTTTCTCACTAAAATCTATGTGTGCGTACAATAGGCAATTTCTAATGCAATAAAATTAAAATACATTGCAACATTTAATTAAATATAATTGCTGATTTAAATCGCTTATTATAAGTACTCAAAACAACTAGTGAATCAAAGTAAGATGTGACTGAACTCTAAATATGTGGAGAGCAAATGAATGCCAACCTCTTTATAAATTGGTGAAATCATGGTTTCTTAATAACGCTTATCAGGGTAGCTAACATATTCTTTGGTTATATTTGGTTATATTTATATTGCAAATCACAATGTATTATGACAGTTGTTGCAAGTCACCTATTATAAGAGGGTCATTCTAAGGGTTTTAAGCATTCTTTACAGTTACTTCATAGAAAAATGGCATTTCTTTGGAGCAATACAATACAGATACTATGTGAAGACGTTATATGTCTAAACTGCTAGCAGAATAAGCACTATCTGTGAATGATACAAATATGTATTCTCTAGGATGAATTTCACAACTAGGTGACATATTTAAAGATTTCACATGGCTGAGTCATCTCATAAATCTCCTGTTAAGTGATTACCAACAAAAGCAATACGTTCATACTTTTGGACTTATTTACATTTCTTAGGTCTGGTATTTTTCACAAGTTTAGGCTCTCAAGAAGCAACCTCTGAAGCTCTGAGATGAGCAGTCTTCTGCGGTAATGCAGAGGGTCTCAAGGATGTCACTGTGAAGGCTTCTCACCAACTTTCAGGACGGTTTGCTAAACCTTAACATAAGAATAAAGCTAAGACTAGTATGTTGCAACAGCACTGACAATTAAAGTAAAATATAAAGGTTTGAGAAACGTGCAAGGCACAGGAAGAACCAGTCACTGCGATTCACTGCTGACCATGGCTCCATCACGTGTAAAGGTAAGAGGGGGATAAAGCTATATACCTGGTGCCTATTCTTGAATTTCTTGTATTGATTTCAGAATTTAGTTTAATTAAAACCATATTTGTTTGTTTGTTTTTATATAGGATTTCTATAGTACTCTCTACAGTATAAAATAATAGAATTTTTCTCATGGAGATTCATTGTTTTTAATTAATAATTTTATCAAAATATATTCTGTCCGGAACCTCTAATAAGCATCAATTTCCCCTCTCGCATGCTTCTCCATTGTGTATTTTTTATATTACATGTTTATTTTTTTATTTTTTTTTATATTTAATCTAAGTTTGTTCCACAGCAACTAGAATGTCAGAATTTGTTCCCTGCCTTTCTAGCTGCTATGAAATGTCCAGAGACAAACACATACTCACTTATACACATAATTGCTTCCTTCCATTGATGTGGAAAACATAAAAAAAAAGGGAGGCCGGTCTCCCCCACATAATTTTGTGATGGTGAAGTCTGACTGGACATGTACCCTTAGTAATAATAATCTATGGTGCATTAGTTTAGGTATTTCGTCAAACGGTGAGTTGAAAGTTCGATATTTAGACCCTTTTTTATGTTGGATGACCCTGGATTTTTAAAAAAATTTATTTGATGTATTTTTATTTTTTTACTAAATAATGGTTTTGCAGTAAGTTAAAGTGAATTTTTAAAATAATCTTATCACCTATGCAATATGAAAGGTCATCGTCTGTCAGTATCTTGTACTGTATCTGTATCTTGCAAGTTTTGTTTTCTTACACAATATATGTTAATGTAGTGTCTCTGCTTAACGAATAAATCCAACAATGCAACATGTTGGGAGTTTTCTATGCTGTTCTAAATATTGGAAATTAAATCTAAAATAAAGAACGGTTTCAGATATGCTGGGTTTAGAGACATGGTGTATCTCCTTTTTTCTAGCCCCCTCTCTTAGTATAAGAGTATTTGGGAAGGGGAACAGAATAGGAGATGGCAGTCACAAAGTCTGGATGTTGTCTGGGAGCATACTGTAAATCCCATTAATCTCAGGCACTACAGTATACGGTGTCATGTTGCATTTTGCCGTACCATTATATGGATAGAAAGACAGATAAAAATCATCCCATACCAGACATAATTGTAAATCAAAGCAAAATCTCAAATGTGATACCACTTTTAATATGCCTATGCTATTAAAAAACATCAAAATATTTATATCTAATGGTTTTGTAAAACCATCTCCAAATCTAAGGGGTGTAGATCTATCTATGCCAGGGATGGGTAATCTGTGGCCATCCAGATGTTTTGGATCACATCTCCCTTGATGCTTTGCAAGCATTATGGCCCTAAGAGAATTATGGGAGATGACGTCCAAAACATCTGGAGGGCCGCAGATTGCCCACCCCTGATCTATGTAATAGGCAAGCTCCCAAAAAATTAGAATGCCCTCTGCATTCAGAAAGAAAAAGTAAACTTCTCTCTTATAAACAGTAAATTATGCTATGCTGACTATGGTTCACAATGCTTTTTTTCCCCAGGAGTCTGATAAGACCAAGTGGGTATTCTGTAACATTTCATCTATCAATTCTAAATGGTTATTAGCCCACGGTCTCCATATAACAATCTCAAAATGTGTTCCATTTCATGGTTAGCTATCTGTAAGGAGTTTAGTACTCAGTACAGTTCAACCTGCAACCGTAACAGATTCCTGACACCTTTAATATTCCTTCCCAAATTTAATTTTTTTACTTAATTAATAAAATAATAAAAAAATGTGTGTGTATATATATATATATATATATATATATATTACCATTGTCTTTGATTTTGTTTGCAATGATCTCTGTTTTAGTAGACTTTCTTTATCTATCTATTAATTCTATGAGTGATGGATATATATGTAGAAGGTGTAGTTTATAGGTTATTAGGGCAGGCTATTCAATTTCTGTTGTCACTGTGAAGATGATTTTCTGCTTGCTCTTCTCACATAAATTACATTTCACGTCTTTTTAAATCTTTTGATTAAAGATCCTTTATTTCTTTGTATTTGATCTTCATAAAGTTATAAATGGATTATCTAATGTTCTTGGAATATGTTCAGTTTGCACACAACAAAATATAAGATCAGTTTAATGCAAGCTGAGAGAAGAGGTGTAGCAGCAATATTCCTGAGAATTTCTTACACCTATCTGTCTGAATCGCAAGTTAGAGCGAACAAATAACCAACTTACTAGGTCTTGCCTTACTGAATAGTGCTTTTATGTTGCTGCTATTTGCACGATTCATAGAAGAGATACCAACCTCTAGGGTGGAATGTTTAGTCTCTGGAAAGCACACATTTCATGTCTTTGACTTCCCAATGCCCTTTGAGTTTCTTGCCTCAAGCTGAGGAAATATTGAAGCAAAGTACAATCATGACCTATAAAATCTTTAAGCTGCCTCAGTGCTACAGCATTGCTTAATTGCAGGTTTATGGGAGATTCTACACTTCTAAGATTCTATGACTATAACATGGAACAAATATCTAGTGCTGCACATAGGGCCTAATGTGCAATTTTCTAACATGTGTCCAGCTTAATTAGGCCATTCATTCTATCTACTACCTTAGCACACACTTCCTCCAGGTTGGGCCGTGGTGTACGTCTGCCAAACCATGTAGACAGTGGACACAGGGCTTCGGGATACACTGCTAAGAAGCGAGAGTGGAGGTCCAGGAGCCTTGTCAGGAACAATTATATCAAAGGAACACTGCAAAGCACCATTACCACTTAAACCCACTGTAGTGGTTATGGTTCCAGCCAGGAGTGTCATATCCATTGTATGTAGTCAAACCATTTCAGTACATTTTGATGTCTTATTTGGGTTCCCCTGTCCTTATTTTTTTGTTTACGTTTTTAGCTATTCAGGGCCATGCTGGGCCATACTGGACCAGAGTCATTGGCTGAAGGCGTAGCTCAGTACTGTAAGCACTGAGTCCTACACAGCTCTGCTCTATATTACAAAGTGCATGGAATAAGATGAAGGGTAGGGGGTTCTCATAATCTCTGGTATGTGTTTTTAAAATCCTGTAGCATTTCCACCATATATCCTAATCCATACGCTGTGGTTATATTGCACTTAGAAACATAGAATGTGACGGCAGATAAGAACCATTCGGCCCATCTAGTCTGCCCAATTTTCTAAATACTTTCATTAGTCCCTGGCCTTATCTTATAGTTAGGATAGCCTTATGCCTATCCCACGCATGCTTAAACTCCTTTACTGTGTTAACCTCTACCACTTCAGCTGGAAGGCTATTCCATGCATCCACTACCCTCTCAGTAAAGTAATACTTCCTGATATTATTTTTAGACCTTTGTCCCTCTAATTTAAGACTATGTCCTCTTGTTGTGGTAGTTTTTCTTCTTTTAAATATAGTCTCCTCCTTTACTGTGTTGATTCCCTTTATATATTTAAAAGTTTCTATCATATCCCCCCTGTCTCGTCTTTCTTTCAAGCTATACATGTTAAGATCCTTTAACCTTTCCTGGTAAGTTTTATCCCGCAATCCATGAACCAGTTTAGTAGCCTGTTCTGTACAATGGCATGATCACTTCCCTCTTTCTACTGCTAATACCTCTCCCTATACAACCAAGCATTCTGCTGGCATTTCCTGCTGCTCTATTACATTGTCTGCCTACCTTTAAGTCATCAGAAATAATCACCCCTAAATCCCTTTCCTCATATGTTGAGGTTAGGACTCTATCAAATATTCTGTACTCTGCCCTTGGGTTTTTACGTCCAAGATGCATTATCTTGCACTTATCCACATTAAATGTCAGTTGCCACAATTCTGACCATTTTTCTAGTTTACCTAAATCATTTGCCATTTGGCACTCTACTTCCCCACCTTCCAATTATTAAAGTAACACTACAGGGTTAGGAATACAAATATGTCAACAGCTCCCCACCTCAAGTGTTTGTGAATGAGAGGTTTTACATTTCACTGTAAAAATAAAATAAAAAATAATAATAATTCAACTTTGTTGACCCTAAAGTGACACTATAAAACAAAAGAACCACTACATCTTGGTGTATTGGTTATGTTTCCTAGTGTCTGTAGATGTTGTTTTCCAGTTGTATGTTACATTATTTCCAAGCAGTTTGAATTTGTCAATTTATAGCCAAACTGGGTTGCAGTGTTGAGGACAGGTCAGGCTTAGATTGAATTAATGTTACATTTGAAACACCCAATAAATAGAATTTTAAACTATTGTTTCTCATGTGTGCCCCCGAGCCAGATCAAAAGCACCCACCACCCTCTACATCTGTAGATTTCAATTCATGTGCAACAGCTGAGTTATATTTATGCAGTTCTATCACTAGGGGGAGCTCCCGCATCTTTTATAATTGTCATTCATGTATTCTCTTTTTCTAAAATGTACATCTCTGCAGCAGTACATCAAAATCCCAGGTATGAACATAAACAGTTTATCAAAATCTCCATAAGACATGCAGTATGTTTATAAATAAATACATATACATTTATATATAAGAAAAAATGGATGCCACTTCTGTAAAATAGATGCAGGCAGGCAAGTCGCAGGGGGTGGGGATACATCCCTGAGTTTGGGGTCCTGCAGCACCAATTTATTTTTTTTTGCTGACAGGCTGCACTGCTCTTCATTGGGTCAGCAGGGCCAGCGCTCCCTATAGGCAAACTAGGGCGCTGCTTAAGGGAGAGCTGTGCTCTCTGCTCCTCGCGGGCTTTCTACCAATGCCGAGCCGGAATAGATCATATTCCGGTTCCTGGCATCAGCAAACGTGCGCGAGGAGCAGAGAACACAACTCCCTTGCCGCGTCTGACAGGAACTCTGTCGCCGAGGGTAGGGGGCCAATGGGCCACCTCTTGGGCCCTCCTATGACAGGGGGAACAGGGAGGGGGCGGTATCTAGGTGGCCTACGGTCGCAGGGTTCGTGGCTGCATGACGACCATGGTAGGTGGCGGTTGTGCATGGGTGCTTTAATTCCTTGCTCCTGCAACATCGCCTGTACATGGGGAGAAGTGGGTGGGAGCATAACAGGATCAGGAAATATGCTGAGAAAGGACGTTATGGGCAGCCAGGTGCAGGCAACAAACAGCAATGAAGGTAAGGTATGTCAGAGAATTTGTGTTAGTCTGCTTGAGTCAGTATGTTTATGTATGTCAGTATGTATCCGTCAGTGTGTGTATGTCATGTGTGTAATGTCTGTCTGTATGGGTCAGTGAGTGTCTGTATGGGCAGGTGTGTGTCTGTATGGGTCAATGTGTCTGTCTGTATGGGTCAGTTTGTGTCTGTATGGTTCAGTGTGTCTGTCTGTCTGGATAAGTGTCTGGATAAGTGTCTGTGTGTGCATGGGCCACAGTGTGTGCCTGCATGGGTCAGTGTGTCCAGGGCCGGCACTTCCTATAAGGTGAACAAGGCAGCCACCTAGGGCGCCATGTAGGAGGGGACGCCCTCCGCCCCCATCACTGGCCCTTTTAATGCTGCAGCCGCCTGAGCGCTCTGTAAAGAGTCTCAGGCGGCTGCAGCACTGACTCTCTTCTCACCTCCCCTTACCTGTAGAGTGGCCGAGCTCCTCTTTTGTCCACGGTACAGGAACATCCGTTTCCTGTACCCAGCCAGACTGATAGGAAGTGCACACTCAGTGTGCACTTCCTGTCATTCCAGCCGGGTACACGAAACAAAAGGTCCAGTACTGCGGACCGAAGAGGAACTCGGCCACGCTACAGGGTAGGGGAGGTGAGAAGAACATTGGGAGGGGGAGGGGAGTAAGAAGGACACAGGGAAGGGGGTAGGGGAGTAAGAAGGACACAGGGAGGGGGGGAGTTGTTATGCTACTTGGGTGATTTGGATTGGAACCGTTGAAAGAGTGAACAAGGTGAATTATAAGGTAAGACTGTCTGGAAGATGAAAAGAGGTACAAATCTATTACGTGAATCTACTTATGCCATGGAAAAAAAGAGAAATGCTTGTGACTTTAGTAGCATCACACCTCCCTACAAAGGATAACATTAATCGCACAGTCAGTATGTCAAAATCTCTGACCATCCATCAGAAGAGGAAGATAAAAAACTTAATTAGTGTAAATAAAGATGTTTTCTCCACAGTTACAAGGAGACCTGCTTAAAAAACGCATAATATTGTCACTGAGCCTCGGTAAAGAGTACATTTTAAGCCATATACAAAACCTGAAGCTCGTAGAGAAGCAATCAAAGCAGAAATGAAGAAAATGTTGGACCTTGGGCTAATCAAAAATTCCAAACTGGCTGGAATAGCCTAATTGTGCTTGTAACAAGATCTGATGGCACAATCAGGTTTTGCAACGATTATCCAAAGCTGAAGGCAATATCCATGTTTGATGCATAATCTGATGGCAAAAGTTGAGAAACTTGTAAAAAAAACTTAGGAAAACTCTGTACCCCATCACATTGCATCTGACCAAAGGAAGTATTGGCAAATACTGATCACAGTGTGGGAAAAGAAAACACTACTTTTTTTTAAAAGTATTTTCCAATACAAAGTTTTACCTTTTGTTTCAAAGAATGATGAACTGAATCCTAAAATGATGAGGTTGTACACAGTGAAGAGTGGGAGTCTTACTTACCAAAAGTGCACAGCGTTCTTAATTCCATATGAATGGCGTTAGAGGAGGCTAAGTATCTTTGTTATTCCACTGGGAGTGGGTTATTCAAGTCAAAAAGTAGAATCCATACTGAATTGTCTCAACCATTGACTAACAATCAAGTCAGAAGACGTCCTGGTCTTTCTGGCTATTGTAGGAGATTTTTCTTCAACTTTCCTACTATAGCAGGTCCATTAAATGACCTCACAAAAGCAAAATCTCCTGTGATGAACCATTCCAACGTTTAAAGAAACTATATGTATTCAACCTGTCCTGGTGACATGTGATTTTTCAAAGGAATTCATCCAACAAACTTGACTGGAAAGTTGAGATTCAGAGCTCCCAATACTGTACCTCAGCAGGAGGTTAGTTATTAACTAATTAAGTTATTTAAGGAACATTACAATGGTAGGAATGAAATTTCTAATGCTATAGCTGTTTGCATGTTTGTTTTAGGTAATACTTCCTTTTGCAACCCAAGCATTTCTTAACAGAGCACAGGGAAGGCAGTAAAGAAGGAAATTCTGATGGCCTTTCCAGTAGCTATACTCTTGTGACCATATTAGTTGCTTACCTCGCTAGGTCTGAGCTGAGGGGGAGGAGGTTTGACAGAGCAAAGGACGTTGTTGTGGCGGGTGTCTATTTCTCCAATGGTGCAGCAGTGCAACATAATAGCCAAGAGGAGAATGTTTTTGTTCATGCATCACAAAGGAAATTTGTGAATTAATATGGGTTCCTGGGTTGGAGCACTTGGAGAGAAGGAAGAGCTAGTGCTCCATTCCACAGTTTACACACAGCCCAGCAGGTAAAGAATACAGGCCAGGTAATTTATGTGGTTTCTCACCTGTGAACAATGGGCAACAGAAGGCTGCTAATACATTTTCCTGTTAGGGATTCAGTGAGAGAGGCTGCATTACTCTCCAGATACTATTATTAATACTTGCTTTTATAAAGCACCAGCATATTCTGCAGTTCTGTGCAATTGTAGAAAGGAAAATGTACACAAAGCTATACAATAGGCATACAAAGACATATACACAGAGCTATACAAAAGGTAACAAGGGCCCAGCCTGTGAGCTGAGATCAAGCCATTGTAGCTGTTTTATAAAAAGTGCTTGTATAAAGCCCATGAACTTACAATATAAGAGTTAACATGGAGACGAGAGGTAAGGAGGTGATTGTAATGTTAACATAAAAAGGGAGTGAGGAGGTAACTGAGTGAGATCTCCAGTATCCGGTGAAACATGCTATAAGAAAACGGAACACAGGTGTAGTGGGGCAGGGGGAAGTGATGAGCAAAATTACATTTTCTCTTATTTCCGAGTCAAATTCCATATGTGCCAACAGTAGGCTCATCATACAATATTTGAAGTTGGCCTGCGCAGAAATGTCCAGTGCAGCTCCATCCCAAATACCACCACACAAGTGTATAAAGGAGTGTTTTCTCCTGGTCCTTCATGTTTTGGTTCTACCTTGGCCACAACAACAAGTAAAGTTCTGTATTAGAGTTTTCTATAGCATATCAATATTTATTTTTGATGACAAAAAATAAAAACCAAAACACAAGATATAAAACTTTATGTCCATCAGTGGGGATTGTACCGCTGCAAGCAATTTTACTTAGAGCTAGTTTAATCTCTACGAAATGTGAGTGCAATTCCAGTTATTATTATTGGGTTTTATCTTTCCGTGTAAACAGTCTGCACTATTATCATTTTGTATCTTTTTACATATGATGAGAAGCACCTTAATCAAGAACAGATACCAATCAAGAATTTAGCAGCTCGGATTGTGACCATTAGACTGTGAATTTTGGACTTTTCACGTTTATTTATTGTTTATTCCATATATATATTTCTTTACTCAGTTTATATTTATCCATCCATTGGTACAACCTGTTTTGTGTGTTTTATGTTGTTCATTTTTTAGGGTTTAAGGGTATCCCCTATATTCAGAGTTTGCTGCCTATATTTTGTCAGTTGTTCTTCTAGCGATTATCCCTACCTTTGTTTTTTGTATATATTTTTACTTGATTGAAGAATGGAACAAGATCAGTAAGCAATTATGAAACCATTCACATTCAATGAACAGGGTGGTTTTGAGCTTTAGAAAGGAGGGGAGTGTGGAATTGTATTTGAGTAGGGAAATTCCATGATCAGTTTGGTTGTCAGTATGGGAAACTTCTGTGGAATTGAAAGACCCGAGCCCGTAGTATCTAAATGAGAGGCCATATCCACCACATGTGCATGAGTGCCTGAATTATTGCATCCCAGAAAATGTGAGGAACATATATCTTATTTATTTAAGGTCAAGACACCACTTGGTAAGGACACTGTGCAAGAAATACACAGTAAATTTGTATACATTTCTGCCAGTCTTCTGCTGATTAAGAGTTCTTTGTCCCACTTTGAGATGTACGAGGTTACATGGGGTTGATGCTTGGGTAACAAGAAAGGTTGTTTATATTAGCTTTGCTTATCCAGATCATGGGGTAAAATCGTACATTTATGGGAACTCATCAGGTCCACAACTCATTCTTAAATGTTAAGTAACTCTGGAACCAAGCTTCAGAAACAAAAATTTAAATTTGGGATATATTACACCCAAGCTGGCTCTGAGTGGACTTATATATCTGTGTTCCATTTTCCAGTGCCTTGTACTAACTCACAATGTCTCTGTGGAACTTGTTTTAGTGGTAAGATTTCATGTTCAATGGTAATTTGCAACTATTACTTTCCTTGGTTTTACACCTGCACCTGTTGTGCAAACTTCATATGTCTTACTCTGGTCCCAGTGAGTTGGGCGCCAAACCTACCTGCAGCCCTGCCTCCATCTGTTGCTTGGCAGGACCAACCAGTGGTGTCATCATGACCATGAAGGGTCCCAGGGTGCCTGCACCCTATACCTCACAATAAACATAAATAAGTCACCCAACCATCTGGGGACTGGTGTCATTGTTGGTAGTTCTGTGCTTGGTATATAGCCTTACTTTTATCCTGACAATGTTGTCCTCTGGTTTTCTGACTATTGCATGTGTGCAGGAATCTGATTTTGCCTGGTAATAATCTACTATATAATAAATTTCCTGCACACTTTCACTTTTCAAAACTCGAACTTCTACGATAAATGCAGCAGAGCTCAGTGTGAGAACTGCACACGTGGGATTCCCAGGACCTCAAGGGATCTAAAGAAGCAGCAAGACTGCCACTGCTTCTTCTCAGATGGAGCTGTGATACCACCAGACCGGCTATCTATAGTGACTTCTTACTTGGATTATGAGTGTGCATAGGTGTGTGTTTGTGTGTGTGTTTATATATATATATATCTATATAAGAAAAAAATAGAAAATGCTCTTGCACTCACGCTTTAGAATCCCTTAGTACCAGGGTGCTAGCATACCAAGGCTAGTAGTATCTATTCCTACAAAAAGATAGCAGCACTCTCGGATTTAAAAGTCCAAAATTTATTAACGTTTCAGTCCTGCATAGAGGACTTTCATCAGGATCAAATGATGAAAGTCCTCCATGCAGGACTGAAACGTTGATCGTTTTTAAACCTTGAATTAATACATTTTGGACTTTTAAATCCGAGAGTGCTGCTACCTTTTTGGAAGAATATATATATATATATATTTGCTACTTTCTACCTTCCTTCTGTTGTGTTTTGTCTTTTTATTAATAATAACCTGTTTTTTATCAACATGATCTTTTCACTTCTAAAAGACCCACAGATATCCCACGTACAAAGGCTATCACCTGAACTTCTGAAACACACAGTGACACACACCTATAATAGACAAACTTGCAATCAAGGTTTAGACTACTGAGACTACTGAGAGACCACCAGAAGACCACTAGTTGGAAGCCCAACCATAATGTCTTTCAAATAATGCAGAATTATTATAATGCGTGTGTGTGTGGGGGAATATATCATCTCTTTTAAGAAGAAAAATCTTATTTTTAAAAATAATTTTTCTATACTTTTTTGCAGATCATTATTAAAAAACACACAAATATTACTGCTTTTTCAGTTTTTAATTTTCTCTAGATGAGAAAGTGCAGTACAGTATTGCAGTTCTTGTAAATTTAGCATTGCTTACTTTATGAACAATTTTAAGAAAAGTGATATATTTCACTTTCTAGAAGGTAAGCTGCATGTACAGATAGTTAAAGGACCACTATAGTGCCAGGAAAACATACTCGTTTTCCTGGCACTATAGTGCCCTGAGGGTGCCCCCACCCTCAGGGACCCCCTCCCGCCCGGCTCTGGAAAGGGGAAAGGGTTAAAAACTTACCTTTTTCCAGCGCTGGGCGGGGAGCTCTCTGCCTCCTCTCCTCCTCCGTTCCTTCTCCTGGGCTGAATGCGCACGCGCGGCAAGAGCTGCGCGCGCATTCAGCCCGTCGCATAGGAAAGCATTTACAATGCTTTCCTATGGACGCTTGCGTGCTCTCACTGTGAAAATCACAGTGAGAAGCACGCAAGCGCCTCTAGTGGCTGTCAATGAGACAGCCACTAGAGGATTAGGGGGAAGGCTTAACCCATTCATAAAAAAATGGGTTAACCCTAGAAGGACCTGGCACCCAGACCACTTCATTTAGCTGAAGTGGTCTGGGTGCCTAGAGTGGTCCTTTAATACTTTGTCATTTATTGAATGAAACCCATTTGAAACATAATTCTATTTGACACATAAATGTTTTTGCAGTCGTTTGAACCCTTATGTATGTGCAGCTTGTTTGGTAACAAAATATCATACAGCACGTTAAATACAACTTCATGGTGCCAAATCATTGTCTCAAAAATTTTAAAATGATCAAAAACAAGGTATAAAGCAAAAATGTCCATATCTGTACTACAGCTGATTTTCTAGAGTTTCTTAATATAGAAAACAATCTGAAGTATGTTGATCATACATAATAAGACGAAGCATGGGAAATTCAATATACACTCCTGTCTGTGACAGTCTCAGACAACAAAAATGTAATTATACTTTCTTAACAGCATAAATATAAAAAAGAAACCTGACAGTTGTTTTTTTTAATACATTTTTTTTATTAAAATGCTCTTTTAGTATTTCACTTTGTTCTGCCAACCAAAGATATTTTGTTTTATAAAATATATGTACATTTCATTTCTATCAAAACTGCAACATCCTCACATTGTTAATGTCAGTATTTATGTATGTATGACCATACCCATTGTAAGATAATGTGGGTTGGTACACATTAAATGTTTCAACTTACTTGTACACAGGGGATGCTAGAGTCCACAGGAACAAATAAAGAATGAAATTATAATAATGAAAAAAAAAAACAAAAAACCTCTAAAATCAAAGTATTTATCTGGTTTAAGAAAATGCAAAACAAATGTAGTTTAATGCCAAATCTCACGTTCTAGAGGGTATTACAACACGAAAGAACTTACCTTATGCACTTCAAGTGATATGCAAAGCAAAATAAAAATAATCAGTTATATTGCTCTTCTGAATTCTAAGCATACTTAATTTTATGAGCTATGGCATTTTCCTGGCAACTAGTAAATTAATTTAAGTCTTATACCTACTATATGTAAGTGTACAAATAATGTAAGTATGTTTTTCAGAACCAGCAACACATCTATCATGATGACCCTTACAGAGCACATTTTACAAGTGTTAGCATTACCACTGACCAAGCTAAAATAAGAAAGAAGTCAACTGATACATAATTTGGTGACCACTCTCACATTCATATTATGTATGTGTATCCTATACTACCAAGGATCAATGTAAAGTGTATGAAAGTGTCAGTAGAAGCACTTAGATATTATTTAGCTATTTAACCAGTTCAATTCCGGTTCTGTGTGCACATAGGGTTTGCTTCTGTTTGCTTTGCATCTGCAATGTCAGATGAATGTTCAAAAAATCTTTACTTACCTATCCATCTGTTCAGCTACTGGATTTCGCTCATCAGATAATCTCATTTCTCTACGTGGGTTCCATTTAGTTCCCCTGTCTCACATAGCTACACTGGACCTGGAATAGTATCACATTCACTACACATGAGTCCACAAGGCTCAATGTGTAAAGTGCTGCTTAACAGCAGATGATGAAGTGAGAGTGTTGGGTACATACAGGGCCGGTGCAAGCATTTTTGGCGCCTTAGGTGAAAACAAATTTTCCGCCCCATTTGCTTCACCCAATCATGCAGACTAACACACACGCTGACTCAAGTAGACACACACTGACCATGCAAACTGACACACACACTAACCCATGTAGCCTGATGCACACCGACTCATATACACACACTGATTCATGCAGACACACACATACAGACACACTGATCCATGCAGGCATACACACATACAAACAGACACACTGACCCATGCAGACACACACATATAGACACACTGACCCATACAAACTGACACACACACACACACACACACTGACCCATGCAAACTGACACACATGCACTAACTCATGTAGACTGACACACACTGACCCATACGCACACACTGATCCATGCAGACACACACATACATAAACACTGACCAATGCAGACACACACACACACAGACACACACATATAGACACACTGACCCATGCAGGCTCACACATTGACCCATGCAGACACACAGTGGCCATTGAAGACACAGACACTGACCCATACAGGCACACAATGACCCATACAGACACAAACTGACCCATAGACATACACACTGACCCATACAGACACACTCACATATACAGACAGACACAGTGACCCATACAGACAAACACTGACCCATACAGACAGACATTACACACATGACATACACAAACACTGACCCATACAGACTGAGATACATAAACATAGTTTGCCTATGGGGAGCGCCGGCCATGGGTACATATCAGGTAATGCTCTACTTTAAAATACTGGTACCTGGTTTTAGCCAGGCTTCTATTTACTATATACTATTTGTTCAAATGTAACTTATCTATTTGGTATGTTCTATTCAATAAACCATAAAGTATCTCCTCCATTATTCCTTAGGTGGTCTTTCCCAAGAGCTGTGCACCTATAATGACTGTACATAGGCTTAACCTAACTTGTCAGTGGCTAAATATGTTTTTGAATAAAGAACATAATGACATCGATTTATATGTTGCAGAGTTCCCATTGTGTCCACAAAGCTGGAATAACATGCCTGTTTATAAGCTGGTTGCTTGCTATGCAGATCATCAATACCTGTGGACAAGATGATTTAGAAGAACAATCAGGTAAAAGAGACATAGTTCCATGTATTTTCCGACAACAATGCATGCTTTTTTTTTTTTTTTTTGGCATCCCTTTTTAATTTATGATTTATGAATTTATTTAATCAGATTCAGCTGTATGTTCAGTTTGCCTCAGTGAAAAAGTTTTAAATCACATAAAGTATTTTACACGTTACTGCACGCACAATGACCAGTTTATGGATTTGAAGTAGTCATGGTACCTGAAGTTTGTGTGCAGCGTTTTGTGATGAGTCACTGCACATACTGATTTTATCCCCTCTGCTGCAGAGCTCCGGGCTGGCTAATATCGATTCTGTGCATATTTGATGTCTACCGACATCACGCACAGCATATTGGTGACAGACATTCAAAGGTGGCCTGGCCCCCCTTTGTGCCGCCCGTATCCACCCCTTAACCCACCCACCCTTTCATTCCATCCCAGCAGCTAGGGGTGTACTCAGCCTCAGTACTAGAACAGATATACGTTTTAAATTTATTTTTGAATCCTTCTGCCAGCAGAGACAAGAGAGTTACCATAGATAGTAATAAAAAAACTATAGAAATATCTAAACATCTTTGAAAGCTCCCTGGGTGTGTTGTGGATGTATTTTTTTGTTTTTGTTTTTTAATACGCCAATTTTGGCCAACTGACTGGAATTCTGTCTTTTTTTCACATTAACAATTTTAGTGGCTAAACCTAGAGGCTATTATACCATAGCTCCACCTCTCATGTTGTCCCTAACTTATATAGAATTTTCATGAACTAAACCCCTATTTCCATAAAACACATTAACTGAACAATCTCAAGAATCTTCACTGTTAAGTGTGAATGTGCTGTTTACCTTGTGACATAAGAGAAATCACAAAATTGTAGCAAATTATGATGATATGGTACAGCAAAGTTATATATATCAAAATGTGCTCAAACCAGAAATATAACAAGAATTCCAATATGAATGTATTGGAAACATTAACAAACTATGGGAGAGGATTTAGCAAGGCAAAATAACAAACAATTTGGGGTACAAAGGGAAAAATCTTGTGAAATATTATGATGTTTTCCATGGTGGTTGCTGTATATGTAGCACTTTGCTACAACAACTTCCACTTCCTCTATGGAAAGCCAGAAGCCCTTGCATGGAGTGTCCTTAGCTGTCCTTAGCTAAACCCTGCTGTGGTCGGCAGCTCATTGAGTGAGAGTGTCAGCTGATCCCTCTCAGCCAATGACCGAAGCTCTGTACAGCCACTCTCAGCTAAATGCCGAGAACTTCCAGCTGTCACAGAGGCGATGACCGGTACCCACTGGACCATAGGTATGATGTCAAATCATTACTAAACAGTTTGACTACTTACACCGGATGACTACTTACACCCGGCACCAAAACCACTACAGCATGTTGAAGTGATTTATGGTGCTTGTAGTGTTCCTTTATATCTGCATTTATATATTTTTACTTTTGCAATCACTTTGCCTTTTTAAAATTTTATTTAGACCATTAATTGTCCTTTTGCAAGATGGGTTAGCATCTTTCCTTTGTAGAAATTATTGATATTAATAACAATGAGTCACAAAAATATATTTTATATCTTATTTTCCAATTTGTTTTAGAATTTCCTGCCAGACTGGTTGGCTAAGCAACATTTGTTGAGTCAATACTTTTAAATTTGTTTTAATTGCTAATTATAATTTAAAATTGTTAGTTTGATGATATTCCAAGTCTTCTAGCTCATCAATGTTAATGAGCTTTAAAGATACCATTGACATGATATAGTCAGTCATCTTAAAACTATCTTAAAACTAAGCATATAACTGTCACCAATGCATTTTTGCAAATTTTACAAATACTTCATATTATTATATTATTACCAGATCCCGATAACTATCTATTTTAGTTCATGTGTATACTATTTGAAACTGTGCAACACATTTCCCTTTGCTGACCTGCTTGTCCAAATATTCTAGTAAATGCCTGGGTGATCTCTCATAGTTAAATACAGATATCTGCCAGATTTCAATGACAACTTGATTTGACTTCATACATGGAATTTTTATTTAAATATCATTCAGGTGATTATGGGTACGAGGAGGAGATATACTCACAAGAGCGTGAATATGGAAGTACCCCCTACAACGGCTATGGGTCAGAGGATGACTACTTGATTACATCAACAGATATTCCTTCCAGCACAGATGTACCAGTAGGGAATTATGAGGAAGAAGTTACATTTTCTGGGTATTATCCTGACACGCAGATTGAGACAGAGGAAGAGAATCCATCTCCTACGGAATCATTTTTTGCTGCAAGAGATGTAACTACAATAACCACCAGATTTCCATATCATCGTCAAACTATTCCAAGAGAAAATGAGGATATTATTCCTGCCCCAGAACTTTCACGTGATTATGAAGGTATGTCTATTTTCTTATCATTCCTTTTTGAATATGGTGCTGTGCCTACTTTAAAATGAAGATTTAATACTTTCGTTATCAAATATGTAATTGTATTAGCTCAGTAACCAATTTTTGTTTTTTCAGTGACCCATTACTCAACTGCTATGTTATATATAACAAAATCTGAAAACAGCCATCAAAGCACAGCTTGCACCAAATTTCAAGAGACAAATTTAAAAATTTACTCATTTTGGTATACACCAAATTTACCTTCTCCACATATGGTGGTCATGACCTGCTGTATGCTCCTTTTGGGAAAAGCTCCAAAATGGCATCACAAAAATTCTGGGGGAAACAGTCGTTCCTGCCCAAGAATCCCTCCTACATCACATTAGCCTCCAATCATCTAAGACTGATCTAAAAAATCACTTCTCAGGTTCCTAATAAATGCTTCGAAATCCATTATCCCACTTTGATGGAAGACCACAAAAAACCCCATTGATACAACATTTTTTAAATGTCTACTTCATCTTAAAATCAAATGTATAACCTCTACAACTTTATACCTTTCTAATTTATCCGCAAAGGATGAATGAATAAATGGAAGAATTTTTTTTTGAGTTTATGGACTTTGCTGTTTGATTTCATTAAACAACATATTATATAAATATTGAGGGATTTGCTTTAGTCTTATAAGATGTATAAAAAGTGTTACAATTATTTCCCTCAAAAATAACTAAGTAGTGAAGAATTAAGCGAAATGCAATAACTCTAGCCGTGTGTATTTGTAATCATTGTCATTGTTCTTTCATTTTGATATTTTTCTCATTTTCAAAGAGAAAAATAATTTTCACATGAAATAGTCTTGCCCTAAGCTTCTGTTTTTTTTTTTTTTAAACCAACCAGACTTTGAGCAAAACGTAGAACGCTTCCTTTATTGTGTCTTGCAGTGACAAACTTGATCGAAGAATTTAGTGTTTCCAGTACTTCTGGAGTAAGAAGCGTTACAGGATCACAGACTCACTTGAAGGCATTTCAAATAGGAGGAAGAATGCAAATTCGCAAACAATCAAGGTGTGTGTTATGTCAGTGAGTTAAAGTATGTGTAGCATTGTTTTGGTACACTTAATTTCATATACATCATTTTGTCCCTGATTGTCCTTTAAAGAGACCCTCTAGACAGGAAGGTGATAATCTTTTTAACAAGTTTATGCATTTAAAAAATGCAATAGTAAATTATTTAAAAAAAATATATATTCATTTTTGAAGTTGCTGCATTTGAAATTTAACTCTGGCTTATCAAGTGCTGCAGTTACAGAAATTGATCAACCAGGCTTATCCCTTAAATCCGGTTATACGAAGAACAGAAGTTTCTTGGAGTTTTTGATTGCTTACTATTTACTTCTGCACCACCTGATGACATGTACAACTGCGTTATATGAGAAGAATGGGAAATACTGCCAGTTAGAAGTGAGAGCAAAAAAACTGACTTATGGAGCAAAGCTACTTATTTTTACAAAACACAAATATTTATTAACAAAAAAAAACAAAGATAAAACCACACAGCCTTACTAACTGGAATATACCACTGTACCTAATGTGTCACATTTAAAGGGTTACTCCAATCACCATGACCACCTGCAAAGGGAAGATTTCTTTCCCCTTCCACCCTACTTAATTGTAGCCTTCCCATCTTTCTATCCCATCCGATATGCCCTCTCTCCTCCTTTTTTAACCTTCCTCTCCCCCTCCCCTTGCCAGCTCAGAGTGCGTGCATGCACTCTCGAAGAACAAAAAAATAAATAAAAAATACAAAAATATTTATATTTGTTATTCTTTTTTAAACAGGAATTTAGTTTACTGGGCTTTCCCACACTATTATTAGGGACAATTTAAATTTTGACCATGGACTTTGAATTCTCCCTTTAGTAAATATGAAGGAAAGCTATATCATATAAAAATAGGGGCATTTCCAATCGAAATAGGTCTAAAAATCACTAAGACTATGACATTATTTTCTTTGCAGGTTGATCTTCCCCTATGGTTTCCCACAGCAGTTCTCACTGGTTTCCACCTTCAGAATGAGGGAGAAGACAGCTGAACAGGTGTGGAACCTCTGGGAAGTACAGGCACAGAATGGAGCTGAGCAATTTAGATTGCGTCTCTATGGAGAAAGCAACGCAGTGGATATATACAGCATAGCAGCCTCAGGTAGTCAAAAAGTAACAACCTTTGAGAATGTGGAAAGACTGTTTGATGGAAGATGGCACAAACTGTCTTTGAGTGCCAGAAGAAACCTGCTAACACTGTATGTGGACTGTCAGCAAGTTGGTTCCTCACCTGTTAACCTCTATGGTACCATCCGAATGGATGGATTCAGCAGTCTGGCTCGACGCATAAGGGACGGAGCGGCAGCAAATGTGAGTGAAAATAAGAATAGCTGTTTCCTGTAATGTTCTAACCATTAATAATGTCATTGTTGATGCATCAGCTGTTTTAACGATAAGTCGACTTTTTGTAGATCGATATACAGCAGCTTGAAATCTTTGAAGATGCAGAAACCGCCACTGAAACAACATGTTGTGAGCTACCTGGTGTGGTGAGTATATATAAATACATATGCTGTTATGTTTCATTTGGGAACTATTAATTCTGCACCATATTCAGTAATCATACCTATAGCTGCATGGATGAATAGAATTAAGAAGAACGTGCATAGTGGAATTAAGAAGAAATACCCCAATATAAATAAAATTCATCAAGTTTTCAATTCTTTATGTTATGGCTCTTTCTGATAAATTACACTAAAATTTGATTTATTCTGCTTCTTTATGCAGGAAGATGAAAGGGTAAGTTAATTTATATACTTATTGCATATAAAATAAACACAAAATCCACACACAGAATGTTACACTGTTTCTCTTTTTTTTTATTTCTTTTTTATAAAGTGTGCTGATGCAGGCGAATTTAATGCAAAAGGTTGCAACTGTTTGCCCGGAGAACCTGGTTTTCAAGGATTTCCTGGATCCAAGGTAATAATATGTCACATTTCATTTCAGAGATCCCGAGCTGTGTCTGAGTACCAGAGTTGAGTATGAGAATAAGAGCAAAGTAAGAGTTCCATAGCTGAGTCTAAGTATGAGAGCCAAGTACGAGTACGAGAACTGAGTCTGATTATAAGAGCCGAGTACGAGAACTGAGTCTGAGTATGTGAGCCAAGTACGAGAGCCAGAACTGAGAGCCAAGTATGCGTATCACAGCCGAGTCTGAGTATGAGAGCCAAGTACGAGTAGGAGAACTGAGTCTGATTATAAGAGCCAAGTATGAGTACCAGAACTGAGTCTGAGTATGTGAGCCAAGTACGAGTGCCAGAACTGAGTCTTAGTATGAGAGCTAAGAATGAGTACCAGAGCTGAGTTTGAGTGCCAGGTCTGAATCTGAAAATGAGAGCTGAGTGTGAGTACCAGACCCGAGTCTAAATACCAGAGTGGAGTATGAGCATAGTATGAGCTGAGTTTGAGTATAATGGCTGATTATTAATACCAGCTTAGTATAATTATGAGAGCTGAGTACGAGTACCAGAAATAAGTCTTTCATTATGTTTTCATAGGGTGAAAAGGGAACTCAAGGTTTACAAGGTCATTATGGAATCCATGGCAGACAGGTACGTTAATAAACATGTATTGTTTTTGTTTTTGTTTTTTTTAATAGATGCTATTGTATTATTCACATCATATTCAATCTCAAAGAACAATATTATGAATGAAGAACAACAAATCATGTTCTAATATTGCCCTCTTCATGGAAATATTTCCAATTAATGTATTAAAACAACAATTATCCATTATCCACTAGGTAAGGTCAAGCTGTTCTGCAAAAAATATAAAAGGCGTATTTATATTGTTTGACATTTTAATTAAAAAAACACTGTGTTGATAAGTGGGGCTCTTGTTTCCTTATCCTACAATAATTATACTGCTCTTTTCCTATTTTAATGGCTCTGCACTCAGCCATGGAGCTCTTATGAGTATATTATACACCTGTTTATTAGCCACTCTCTTCAACACTAGCAAGGAAATGTCAAAAGTGAGAATTTAACCCTTTAAGGACACATGACATGTGATTCCCTTTTATTCCAGAAGTTTGGTCCTTAAGGAGTTAAAGTGAATTTCTAATTTAAAGCCCCCAAAAAAGCTGAGGTGGAAAAATTCTCAAAGTCAGTGAGCTATGCTTTCAGTACAACTCCTATGGCCCTAAATTTGAAATTTACTTGGAATTCTCTCTTTAGCAAATAACTCTGTACATTGAAAAATGTGCCTTAAAGGAACACTCCAAACACCTAAACCACATTAGCTGAAGTGTTTAATCGGTTAAAAGTATGTCCTTGGTACCTTAATAAATTAACCTCATTACACCCCCTGGCTGTCAATCAGACAATAGGCCCTGCTATTTTCTGGTTTGATTAGCTCAGTGGAGCTAAACTCAAGAGTCAGTGAGTGGCCAGAACATGGACTTCTCTTTGATCTGCATTGGGATTGCTTGCAAAGGCTGCAGTGTGTGTACTGGGACAAGGGTGATGCTTACAAAGGCTGCACAAAGAAGATCCACAGCAATAAATTCATGCATGTCTTCACGTGATAAATATTAGTGGAAGTTACACTCTTCAATTCTCTCTAATCGGCTGTTCTCCCCGCATGTCACTAAAGAGATGGGTGCTGAATTAAGAACAACAGCCACAAAAAAAGCATCTGGTACCCCAGAGTGTAACACCAACTAATATTATGATGCCCAAAGATTAAAGGAACCCCAACCCCTATCCTAACCTAAGTCTATCCCTAAACCTATTTACACAATGAAAGATCCATAACACCGGGACCTTTATTACAGAGTGACTGCACATTTGGTATCATCTGCTGGATGTTTTCATTAATCTGTTATAAAATAGTCAGGCATGTATATTAAAATCTACATATATATATCTACATATATATTGACAATCTGTATTGACAAATATTTTACAGGGACCGAGAGGATCAAAGGGAGGACAAGGTAGAAGAGGTGATACAGGTCCCAGGGTATGTATATTTGTGGATTATGTATATTTATTGGTTATGAATAGTATGAATAGTAGTGTTGATATATTTTTCTATTTAAAAAATGAAATAAAAAAATGTGTTTATTTAAAAAAAAAAAACCCATGCCTAAATCACAATCTCCTTGGAAATTAATCTATTGGATATGTTAGTTGTTCATTTATATTCAATTTAGTTTTTAAATTTACATGCATGTTTTTTATTTCACCTTTGTAATACTGTTTACACTGTAACATTTCACTATATATTTATGGTGTATGTAGAGCACGTTTGGACTAGGCTCGACAAAGACTCACTTTAAAGTTGAAACGTTGTCAGATCACTACAAGGCCTTTGCTATTTTAATAAGACTTCAATATATATTTCATAATGTTTCTTAATAAGACGATGACATGTTTACTTCATATTGCTACACTTATTTCTAGAACTTGGCCCTTTCCCCAGAGTTCTAAAAAAAATATAAAACATATTTTCAAATATTTAACCCTGGCATTAGTCCCAAACCGCTACAGTAGGAACTACAAATAGTCCTGGCTCAGCCTGCTAGAGAAACTGAAATCAAAGACCTATTTGTCAAGAATTTGACATGCAGACTAATGACTGGGAAGCGTAATATGTAATACATTGTATATCTATGTGCACTTTTTAATATCCAAAGTTCTTGTTGGCATGCATATCTCTTCAATTTGTTATACAGAAAAGCACTACTTATTTATACAGTTAAGGGTAAAGTACATAAATACAGGTTAAAATGGAAATCTGGGAGGGTAGGTCCTGTGCCATTATGTACTCAGGAAGAGGCCTTTTTTTTTTTTTTTTTTATGTAATCCTTTATATGGTCAGCGGTAAGCCAAGACACTGACAAGGAACACGAACATCAATGACAGTGTAAACATTTCAACATCTGTGTCACAAAATTATATTATCACGTATTTTGTTAATACAAAAGGAACTGGAGGGAGAAGGGATCATTCTGCCACCAGGAAGTCTTATTGCCAGAGATATTGTAAGCAAACAATTTATTATTTATCGCTAAAGTGTTGACCGGATGGGAAAAAAGGAATATTACAAACCCAGATCAATTGGTTTCTGAAGTCCAAAAGTAAACTAAGCAGGCACATTGCCACCCCATAGGATATAAAGAGCCTTTAGAGCAGTAATTTCCCCAGGACAAATCAGTTGAGAATGTGCCCTTATCTATGGAGTTTAGTTTGGTTGATGACCAACAGAAAAGCATTTTTTAACATTCCGCTTGCAATCCCATTTAAATAGACACTTTCTTAGATGCCACCCCAAACCTCCACTCCGTCAGCACCTTCAATGTATTGCTCTATATCTTGGTCCTACTTTTTCAAATAAACCAGAGAATTACTTGCAGATGCTGTAGAACATAGAAAAGAATACAAATTTGAGATAAAAGGGAAATTGGTTAAATCACTATAAACTACAGTTTAACCTTTAGATAGGTCTGCAATACTAAGTAATAGCAAATATCTGAAGAAATCTGATGTTGCTAACTGAGCTGAGACACAATTTATACCATCTTCAAATACGTCCCCCTACTATTTTGTGCTAACACCCCTATATTGGTGAAAGACTGCGGGAGAAGGAGAGGGAGAAATTTCTTTATTTTTAAGGAATAACGTTTAGAGAGATTGTAGTAATGAAATAACCTGTTCCAGATATTTAATTAATTGAGCAGGGTCAGGCGAGTAGGATATACCTACTGTCTTTGACCCTTTTCCAGCTATATGTAAAATAATGGAAGATCAAGCAAGGAAAGTGTAGACTCAATGTCCACGTGCCTGTATAATGACATTTCATTTAACTTCAGTGCTACACATGCACTTGATAAACAGAGTATATTTACTAAGCACAGTACCAGTCAAAATATATTGTGAATTTGTGCTTTATTATTTCACAGGGTGACCCAGGTCCTGATGGTGAAGAAGGCCCTTCTGGGTTCACAGGAGATACTGTAAGTAGTGATTTGTCGTGCAAGTATATGCAATCTGAAGAGTTAAATTAAATTTAAAGAGTTTATAACAATGAGAAGTTTTATGCCCGTGATTTTTTTCACAAGTATGTCAATTTCTACAAATTGTATTTTTATTGTTTTTAATAAGCACAGTCTAGCACATTATACTTATACAGTATTAACATTTTATTAGAAGAGATAGCTGTTAACTCAAAGTTCAAACCTATAGTTGCATGACAAAAACCAGCGCGAAGGAAGTAAACTGCAAAGGGTAAAGGAAAAATTTAAAAAACAACAACAATTATTGCCATGTTTTTCTAAGAAATGCAACGTATTAATTGATGTATATAACATACATTCCAGCACTTTAATCTGACATCAACTTGAGGTATGTTTTAGGGTAAATGTAAATATTGCTATTTATTATAAATGGCAATGACTTACATTGTCAGAGAAATGCAGATCACCAATGCACTAAAACCACACATTAAGATGTACCTTTAACACTGGCAAAGATTAACCAAGCTAGAAAGGTGCAAATATAGGCCCTTTCTAGTACCTAGCCCAGGGGTAGGCAACCTTTTAACAGCACTGTGCCAAAATAAGATTGTGATATCTCGTAGTGGCCGGCCCTATTTTTTTTTTTTTTAATTGCCATGTCTATGTTTTCCGTAATTTGCTTGTTTTATTTATACTGTAGTTGCTTTTTGTTTTATTTGTGCATATATGAGCTGTTATATTGTATATGTTCATGAGTAAATTGTGGTATTGTATATTATATGTAGGAATTTTGGCTGTGTATGGGGGGCTGCTTGTGGAATTGAGTGTGTTGATGGACATGTTACATTGTGTTTTTGGTGGGGTGTGTATGTGTGAGGCTGCTTGGGGTATTGCATGTGAGAGCCTGCTTGTGAGGTTGTGTGCGTCTATGTGGATTGTTATTGGAGAGATCACTTACTCTACATGCTGCAATGCATAAATTGAGGATTGTCTTTCACCACCTTTTCAAAATTAGCAGATATCTGAAGTTTCACTTGGTCTCCTGATAGGCCAGAGAAGCCTGTTTGGCTCTAGCAGCCTCGAGTGCCATGCAAAGACACCTCGAGTGCCATGCAAAGACACCTCGAGTGCCGTGCAAAGACACCTCGAGTGCCGTGCAAAGACACCTTGCCGTGCAAAGGTTGCCTACCCCTGACCTAGCCTATTAAATATAAAAAAGTGTACCCTCCACATGAGGTATTTAGCTTAATAAGGCTAATTACTTGCATATGTTGCAATGCTGCATGCTCCAACTTCTCAAACAAGTTATTGCATTGCTCTTATTTACATTGTCAAAATTAATGGATGGGAAATAAAATTAATATATTAATCGTTCCTAAATCCCAATGAGGTAGACTAAAGTCTAAAATCCCTTTATTACTGCATCTGTGTCTATTTTTCAGCAGAAATAGTATAAAATCCATGTGGGCTGGCTACTTTCATTTACAAATGACATTAATGAAGAAAATAGCCTATATCCTGCTCCACTGTGGCCCGTTTTTGATTTTCAAAAAGTCAGCCAATAGCCAATGAAATAGCTTTGAAGTCCACCTGTTGATTGTCATTACAATATATTGCTCTATTGATTATTAACCCATTCATGTTGTCCATATTTTATTAAGGCTCTGCCTGGGTTAGGCCAGATTTCTGTTAAAAGACAATAAGGTCAGTCTCTGAACGTGTCCTGTGTTATCTGGCACCAAGACATTAGCAGCAGATCCTTGCAGCACATCACGTGGCTTGAGATCTGGGGAATTTGAAGGCAAGACATTGAACTCTTTATCATGTTCCTCAAACCATTCCTGAACAATTTTTGGAGTGTGCCAGGATGTATTGTCCTGCTAAAAGAGTCCACTGCCACCAGGGAACACCATTGCCATGAAGGGGTGCACATGGTCTGTAACAATCGCTAGGTAGTACGTGTCAAATTAACATCTCTATGAATGCCAAGACCCAAGGTTTTCCAGCTGAAAATTACCCAGATCATAAGACATCCTCTACCAGACTTCCTTTCTCCCATAGCACATCCTGCTGCCATCTCTTTCCCAGGTAAATTACACACACATAATCGGCCATCCACCTGATCTAAAAGAAAACGTGATTCATTAGACTAGGAAACCTTCTTCCATTGCTTTATGGTCCAGTTCTGACACTTACGTCCCCACTGAAGGTGCTTTTGGTGGTGGACAAGGATCATCATGGGCTTCATCGTCTGCAACTACACAGCCATATATGCAGCAAACTGCAATGCACTGTGTGTTCTGATACCTTTCTAGTATGGCCAGCATTAAGGTTTCAGCAATGTGAGCTACAGTAGCTGACCAGACAGACTAGACTTCGCTCCCCGCGTACATCAACGAGCCTTGGGCGTACATGACCCTTAAGCCTGTTCAGTTGTTACACCTGTTGCAGTTTTACTTTCTTGCACCACTTTGTGAAGACTTGCTGTTTTGGAAATGCTCTGATCTTGTCATCTAATCTCACGATTTGTTGTTGTCAAATACACTCAGACCTTTTAATTTTCCATTTTTCCACTTTCATCACATGAAAGTCAAGAACTTAATGTTTAATTGCTTCCTACTGTATCCCACCTCTTAAAAGGTGCCTTTGTAGCAATATAATCAACATTATTCACTTTACCCGTCAGTGGTTTTAATGCTGTAGTTAATGAGTATAATTTGTTTTGTCTTAATATGAGTTTCTATTACATTCTTTTAAAAGGGTTTCTTTGGACTTCCTGGACAAAAAGGAGAAGAAGGTTTACCTGGAAAGAAGGTAAAATGAAATGCTGTATCTGCTTAGTGCCCTGGGTTTATATACCTTATTATTTTTTTAAGGCATAATTATAGTGTATATTGATAAAAAAAATGTAATAAGGAACCTCTCACACGTTTCCATTTGAATGTTTTCATTGGACACAGCATGCAATGCGTCAAGATCTAAGCTAATAAAACATGTATCCTGGCAATAGTTCAGTAGGTAGGGCATCAGCTGCAGTAACCTAGCATCACAGGGTGGATTATTGGCAAGATCAGTTCAGCCCATCATTCGGCTAAAGTTGATGAAAAGAGAGCTATTAAGTGCATAAAAATAATAATATCAAGACCTCAAGAATGCAGTTGTTTCCTTCTGAAAAGATTACTCCAATCCTTTTATTTTAAACCCAATTTAGTTTATTTTGTAATAGCTATTTGACACCAGTAACGTGTTCACCCATCTTTTTTAAAAGTAAAAAAACTTTTAAAAAAAAGAAAAGTAACCGATAATCCAGCGTCAGGTGTGCACTTTTCACTTCCCATCTGATGTCGCATTGCTTTATGCAGTCCAAGCAAATAATTTTTATAGAGAAAACATTTCCAGGCTCAGAGTGCATGTGTGCTCTGAGCCCAGTTGGGTGGGAGGCAGAGAAGAGTGGACAAGGAAGGGAGAGGATTTAAAAAAGAATAACATATATGCAGGGAGTTTGAGAGTGAGTAGACCAAGCGAGGAATAGAGGGAGAGGAGATTTAGGCTTCCCCTTACAGGTGTGTTCCCAGTGCAACTCGCAAGAGTAGTAGCTGACTAGTTCTGTCACCCGTGCGTTGTGTAATTTTTGCACAGCAATAACATTAGGCAGTCTGGAACAGTTACTGGCTGCCAAATTTGCGCATGCTGGGGTTTAACTAGCCCACTGCACAAATTTGCAAACATCTCTGTATTTGCAGCGTTTCAAGCAGAAACATAGCAGATACAGATTGCTTCCCCCATGACCGCTTCTAAAAACAGATATGGTTAGGGATGTTGGAGTAACACTTTAAACACTTTGATGATATTATTTTATGTCTGGCTGAGCATTGTCAAAAATATAGTTTACATACATATCTATTGGCTTGTTAGCTATAAATGATCTTGTTTGTGTTGATTTGTTTGCAAAACAGGTTTTTTTTTTTAAAGACAAGCAGGTGCTATTCTGGGGCAATATACTAACTAAATAAGGCCATGTTGCCATGGAAACCAACAGAATAGCACACACTTTGCCTTGATAGCTTGCTAATATGTTATGAAAAAAAATAAAGCAGAGCACTATGAACTGCATAACTACTCTCTGGCAGCATCATTGGGAGTCATTAAGAGTTTTCAGGTTGGCTAATATAAATTTTGTAAAAAATTGGCATCTGATGCCAGCACACACAGCATGCTGGCAACTGATAGCCAATGGCAGCATGCCACTCCTCTACGCTGCCCCTGTACTTACCTTCAGTCTGCCCTGCAAGAGCCCCTCCATCTGACAGGTGGGAATAATGTCAGCAGAGGAGCTCTTGACCTCGGCGCAATATTAACATTTAGCATTTTAATTTTTTTCGCTGAGGGAGACTTACCAGGCTAGGAGGGGTTGTTCCAATTTCTTAAAACACTGGTCTTTGGTAGTAACCTTTTACATATAATTATTGAGCTTTCTGTTTAAATCCACACAAATTGGTAAACGTGTAATAAGATAGAGAGACAGAGAGAGAGAACTATAGATGTTTTCCTGTTTTTGCTCTTTGTCAAGTTGTGTAATGTTATTCAGGGTCGAATGGATAATTTATATGTCATTATTATAACTGGTCCTTGTGATTGTGTTCCTCCCAAGACTTGCCTGTTCAATTTTCTTCTATTTTAGTCATTAGACACAGACTGTGTATTAATGATAACCTATCTTACAGGGAGAGCGTGGATTGACAGGTCCACAAGGAGAGCCAGGAATTAAAGGAGAACTTGTAAGTAATTTCTATTATTAGTCAATCAGATGATGGTGTGTGAACCTTTTTTCTCCAGATCCCCAATTTAATTTTTTTTTTATACTATATGTATGCTATATATATGCATGCTGTTTTTTGCTACAACCATATATGATATCTTGGCTTTTACCTCTGAAGTTCCTATCAAGAAACCCATTGGTAATCCACTGCAATCTAGGGATTGTATTCTTTCGAACCTAGATTTTAGCGACTACTTACTTATAGTTTCAACTGGCTTGAACCATTGCAAACTGTCATCACTTAAGTATCTTTCAAGACTTGAGGTTCAGTAAACAGACCTCTTAGTTTAATACTTGCAAATTATTTTATAAACTATATTGATTTAAAACCATCATCATGATATGGATTATTATACAGCTCAGTGTCAAAAAATCCTGATTTATATCATTTTAATAACTAGTAACTCAAAACAATTGCACAGCCTAAGATGGTCTGTCTCTAATTATGCAAAGTAACTTATATTTTACACCACGTAGTTAAAACCAATACTAATTGTGGGATTATTTTAATTTCATGCATTCATTTTTAGCTGTGTTTCCTGTTTATATGTACATACCTTAAACTGGCATGCAGATGTTATTAAAGTGTTGTTTTACAATTTTTTTTTTAGAAGTGGCCAATATCTAATTTTGGACTAAAACTATATTCTCGGCCATCTCTAGCTGTGATCAGAGTTCTGGGTGTTGTAGTCCAACAACAATTTGGGGACCCACATAGTTATACAGCACTTAAACCCTTCATTACCGACCACTTTTTGGTTAACAAATATTAGCATGACATTTTTTTTTTTTTAAGTAGGGGATGCACAGCTAGCCTATAAACATATCATATGTTTGTAGACAAAGAGAAAAATAGAAAATATGTAAATTCACACAATTTATATTTTTCTCCTATTTATTCATCCTTTATAAAAATATTTGGGAAATGAAAAGCTTTAGACAGTATACGGTGTCCTTCATCCTGCAATATTTCACAGAGATTCCAAAACGTTAGTTTGAAAGCAATAATGTCTATGTGTATAGATTGCTTTGCAGACAAGCGTAAACATTCAAATTATGTAACTTTACAGAATTTGTATTTTTCCCTTATGTATCCCTCATATTTGGGAAACGAACAGCTGTACACAATTTCCTTTATCTTTAGCACTATTTCAAACAGGGTCTGAAATGTTAGTTTGAAAGCAAAAATGCAAATAGATTTGACAAAAATAGATAAATAAAAAAAGGACCCTTAAGGCATTACTAGCAGTATAGCTTACTAAAATGGCAACAGAATGTAAAAACAATGGCTGCAAATGAGCATAATGCCCACATTTAGTAAAAATAGTGAAATCTTATATTTCTAAAATAAAGGTATTTAATCTTTATCAATCTCTGAACTGCTAATGTAATGCTAACAATGAAAAGGTAGAGTCCATTTACTCTTCACTTTACATTCATTATATCAGTAACTTGTGGCCCCATGAAGCAAGCGCAGCCTAAGGCTGGAAAGTAGGCTTAGGTGAGGATGGCAGGGATTGGTATTTTAGGTTGGGAGGCAGGACTAGTATATATAGGCCGGCCATCTTAGTTTGGTCACAACTAATTACTCACCAGTCTGGGTTGGTCCCTCCCTCCGTCCCTTGTATAGGTTAAGTGGTTTCAGCCCGCTTAGTCACAGCAGCAGGGTTGGTGAGGGGAAGGCTAGGGAGAAATATGGTCTCTGGTTTAATTAAGAAGAGTTAAGGAAGTTGGCTGATTAGTACCAAATTGGTTGGTTACAATGTTGATATAATTTTGGTGGGTTTCAAGTCCGTCGGTGGCTCAGAACGTTGGAGGTGTAGGGTTATCCGGGTATACCCCTCCCAGGAGGCGGTTAATCATTATGTTGCACTTTATTTGTTTATATCTTAATGTGTCGTTACATTGTTATTACAATGTTTACCATATGTGTCATAGCCTTTATTTATGACATATGGAATATGTATTGTGATGTATGGGTGAAGGGATGAGGCAAGGACTTTCAATGTTTCAGTTGATATTTTTGGATATTATTATTATTATTATTATATTAATAAAGCTTTGGATGTATTGACCCATACCTTAGAGTGTTTGTATTTGATTGGTAATGGGGTAGCTATGGGTTTTTTGGGAAATCTCCACCTGCCAACAAGGTGACAATGCACCCGTCAAGTGTCTTCTGGTATAGACATGTTTCCCCTACAGGCTGGTAATCATATCTAGAGTAAGATGAGGGTCGGTGAGGCTTTATGGACTAGATTTCATACTACAAAATACATGAAAATAAAAACTTTTAAGCTCTATATCATTTTAAAGGGGTTAAACCTTTTTTGTTATGGAGAACTAAAGGAAAAGTTAAATGTTTTCAATTACTTAAAGAATAAAGGACACGTTATATATTAAGAAGAATGTATTTAAATATTTTTTTTAAAACATACTTTAACAGTATTCAGGACTGATGCCAAACCTTTTTGTATTTTAGGGTAATATTGGTAAACTTGGCCGTGATGGCATTGATGGTCCTCCAGGTGAGAAGGTATGTAGTATAAACGTTTGTTTCTTTGCAGAAGTTGTTCTTTCACTATAGTTTGCAGCTCTACTTCCAATAGTTAGATAACGATGCCATTAAGGAGATATCATAGTCCTTCATGTTCTAGATGGACTTTCATCAACTTTTATCAGGAACGTTTTGGTGGACTAATTCATATGAGCGTGGGGGGATCATCAGCTATGGTATTGACAGACACCAATTACGTTTAAATTTCAGGAAACCATTAAATTATGCACTTTGTTGATGTTGTGTCTAACCAAGATAAAATGTGTGTATAAACTATAAAATATTTAAAATACATATGTTATAGTCAGTAGATGTCTTCATGTAAAAAACATTCACCAGATTTTGTATATGTAAAAGACAAAAGTAACAATAATAGTACAGACAGCCTAATTCAATATGTTTTATATTATATAGCAAGATTTAAATAATTTTCACCTACCACTAACATTTCCTAGAGCTGATATACCAGCTCTTGTATATTGTGCTTGTGTGACTTTAAGAACTGACACCAACCTCACTCTGTAATTACTTTGAATAATTTATTCACTTAGCAAACAATTAACACACATTCAATACACTTAAAAAATGAAGTGCCTTTTAAAGACAAATGTGCAATGTGGTATCTCGCGATTAGGTCTGTTCAGCACATTTTCAGCATCTTCAGTCCATCTACTTGTGTGACGACAATCTCTCTACGCATTTCGCTACACTGGCTATGTAAGGCTTAACATCACAGTTCTACAATTTTTGTTTGGATGAGAATCGGCTGGAGATGTACATTTTGTCCATTCATAAGAGAATAGCTTTCTATCATTGATATCTCCTTTTCTTTTTTTTTTTTTTTTAATTCTTTATTTATTGCGTGCAAAGAGATAACGTTGCTTGGTGCGCCACAACAGCTGCATCAAACAGAGAGATAAGAAGATGTACATGGTTATGGCATTTGCATAAGTTGCACATTTTTAAATTATATATTATACAGACTAAACAGGCTAAACAGTATAAGTCTAGAGTAACTGTTAGGGCTAATAACAACGCCAGTGTGGAAAACAAATATTAGGGTAGACTTTCTGAACTGCCCCAGCATGCATTATAAATGTGATTTCGCCTATACGCAGCCAGTGCACAATGTAGCTTATAACAATAAAGGAAATAGATAGAGAAAAGGTAAAGCACGTTAGTAGAGAGAGAGACATGTTCAGCTTACGGTCTAGTATGCCGATGTGAGTCAATGTCCCGTATTCACGATGCATGCTGTAGGAATAAATGCCTAACTGAAAGAGTCAAAAACTTAAACTTAGTATATAGGGCATATAAACCAATGGGTTTCCGCGTGTCCATGTGTTAATAATGTTACTGTCCGAACTGGGTTTTGTACCGGTGGTCAGTGGCACAGTGGGGTAGGTTGTCAATGATGGTCCCAGGGGTCACAGCCTAGGGCTGTTGGAGACCTGTCCTGCAGTGTGAGTCCATTATCAGCCGATGCCGGCGCTTGGGGGCTCGTTGTGGCTGTTGAGAAGCGGTGAAAAAGTGCAGCGGTTCTCACATGAGCTGCGTCCTCGCTTTGGTCCTTGTGCCTGGCTGGCCGCTCTTGCTGCAGGGGTGGGTACATAGACAGCTGTTCGACGGGGGTGAGGTACGTCCTCTCTCCAGCCCCGGGCCGGGATAAAGGCCGACATCATTACTTTTCGGACCCAGGCACTTCTTTGGGCTGGGTCCATCCCATGGCGGGAGTAACGGGGGGGAGCTGATGGTCTGCCGCTTTCTGTGGTGGCCGTCCATCCGTCCATGTGGGTGATGCCTTCGGGTTGTGCCCTTGGTGGCCCTCGACCCAGGTGGGCCAGCAATGTGAGGTGCAGATTTGTCTGGGCGCTTTAGGCCCGAGGAGGTCCTCCTCACCCTCCGTTTCTTGCCACCCCGTTCTCCATCTCGAGGATCGGGCGGTGTAGAGAATATGTGGGTCTCCAGTTTGACCCATAGCTGGTGGAAGTGCTCGCTTAGTCTCTGCATTATGCGGTCCACAGAGCGCAGGGCTGGCTCACTCTGTTCATTTGCCTTCTCTGTTGGCCATGTGGTAGCCGCCATTTTGGGTCGGGTCTCTCCGCTTGTTTGGGCCCCGAGCGAGGTCCGTTTGTCGAGTTGTTTGCTTAGGGCAGTCGAGTAGGGACCGGGATAACCCCCGCCGGTCCAAGGGGGGGGGGGGAGGTAGAAGCTTGCATGATCTCGTTTGTTATCAGGAAGCAGGGAGGTCGGCCGCCTCTCTCCAGCTCCGTTTTAGTAGGCCGCAACGGCGTCTCTCTGGTCTCCCGCAAATTAAGGTCTTGGGGTTTATCTCTGTGTTCCCTCTGAGCTGTGCACTGCCCATCAGTGGGTTTGATCGCTGTTTTTTCAGGGTTAAATCTGCTTTTATTGCTTGTTTAGCAGGAGCTCAGGACCCACACGTCTGCTCCTCTTGCCTGTCAGGCTCCGCCCCCTGATATCTCCTTTTCTATACGATTATTGTTGGAAATTGGGCATCTCAGCTTTTACTCTCCAATACACTCTCTGCCCATAAGTTTGATTAATCCAAATTACCTATTGTATTATTTTCTTCCATACACTATAATTTAGTATTTTACTTTATATTCTCTTAATGAAATCTGCAAACCCAATTAAAATACTCAGTTTGCTTTCAGTCCTCAGCAGTTAGAATTTATGTATCTCTAATTTCATCATTCTAATGCCATTTACATTATTAAACATTTTCCCTTTACTTTCTAATTACTCAAGGCATGATATATACATATACATTCTCATTTTATAGGGATCACGAGGCCCATCCGGAAAACAGGGCCCCGGGGGACCTGAGGGATCTAAGGTATTTTGTTTTTTGGTATTTGTGAACATTTTTGTGGAAGCTGGAAGAAAGATGGTAAAATTAATGAGTATAATGAAATGCAGATATATAAATTGTAAATAGTTAGTTTTGGGTAATGTACAAAGTTTAGAACGTTCCCTTTTCTGATATTTTGGCAAGTCTATGGAAGAAAACTAGTAGCCAACTAAAAATCCAAATTTCCATGAGAAAATAGAGATGGCTTTTAAATATACCTTTGACTGAAATTTCCAGATACCGTCTTTTTAGGAACAGAACAGTAAAGCTCTTTCTTCAAGACTATGCAAAGGTAAAAGCAGAGAAAAGCAAACACGTTTTGGTTGGCCAACAATCATATTACCCTGCATTTTGGCTCCTGTAGAAGATCCAAAGAGTTTCTGTAGCACAGTTCAATATTTCTGTAGTTCTTCTACCATAGAATATACAGAATAATTAAACTGAATGTTTGCCTACATCCCAACATCTCGTTGACGGGTAAAAAAAGCAGATAATGCAATTTATTATGCCTTATTTATTTTTCATTTGTCACTAATATCTTTAATATTTATTATAATTTTGGAACAGTTTGCAGAAGAAGCATTTTGTGAAAAATGTAAAGAATTGACTTTTATTGGCCGCAAAAGACCTAAATATGCGAATAGCATTTTACTTCTTATCACATGTGCTCACTGTATCTTATTGGTGTCCAACCGATAGACATGCAAAGATTGTAGCATTACATTGATCTTGCCGTAGGTAGTTAAGGGAAGAAAACGTTGTCGTTCAACAATAACTGAAGAAATGGAAATTTGTGATTCCTGCCTTAGCTATAGGATGTTTCAACTATAAAATGTTTGTAAAATGTTGCATAATTAACTTTTTCTATGCATTATAACTATAGGGTGATGCTGGAGCCCCCGGGTTTTTAGGTAGTCGAGGTGACATTGGTTACCCGGTAAGTGAAATTCCAGTTTTTACTCATCAATTCAATGTTAATAAGCATCCCTCAATTAATTTATTACAATGAAAACATTGTAGATACATTGCGGAGAGAATTTGTACAGGCAGTTACTAGCATAAGAAATATATTTGTCTTTGTAGACGTATTTATCTTCTGCATCAGTTAAAGGGTTAATCCAAGCACCATATCTACAATACAGACTTACATAGCAAGAATCACTCTAACCACAACCAGTGTTTTTGGTTGTATCAACCCTTTAACAACCCAATTAAAATGTACTTTGGGATTGCACTATTGCTATAATGATTATACACAGGCAGTTTTACTATAAATTAATTTTGTCTAGCATACGTTCTTCATCTTCACCTCTTACCGCTCTCGACATTATTTTGTATGTCAATTAACTACTGTTAAGAATTGTTAAATAGAGCTGTAAAATATGTTGGCACTATAAAAAAAAAAAAAACTGTAAAATACAGACTCAATTACAAGCCTGTGAGCGCTTTCATATAAAACCACACCTAAAGTGTGAAAATTATAACTGCCTGTTTAGAGAAGAAGGCATCCAAAGAGATTGCCCAGGTGTATCCATAACGAAGCAGCCCAAAACTTTTCTGGAGCTTATATTACAGTAAAACCTCGCTTTATGGCGCTTTGCTTTATAGTAATTTTATAGCTGCAGTCAGATAGTGAATCTCTACTTCTTTAAGGTTAGCAATGGTTGAATTGTTTTATTGATTATATTTATTTTTACATAGTTTTTTGGTCTATCAATAACGTACATGTAATATACATATAATGTATAATAGTGTAAGCATTCAGGACATACATACGTACCAGCAAATGGAAAAAATCCAGGATTCACTTCACAGCAATATTCACTTCACAGCAGTGGGACCTAACTTGACGTATTCCTGAAGTATGCCTGTATGTGGAAGACATAGGAAGCCAGGCCTCTCTGTTTTGACTTGGACATCTTTAAAAGCTATTCAATATTTGCATTTTCAAAAGAAAACACAATCCGTTAACGTTTTTGTTCTGTTTTTTAAAAACAGTAAAAAAACAAACTTTCTGTGAAAAGGGATTTTGAAAACTATTTTATTTTTTAAATGTCCCATATCAAAATTTTGTATTTATCGTAAATATCTTGTGCCTTCATATATTTAAATAATGAGATATGAGTTCTCATGAACTATTTCTGTCCAATTTTAGGGTTATCCGGGAATAACTGGTGATTATGGAGAGAAGGGCATAAAGGTGAGATGCTTGGGCAATAAGCATATTCTAAACATTTTGTCTACATTATCAAAAAATTGCATTTTCAGAACTAAAAGAAAACCTTATTGTTAGACTTGTACCCTGATGTTCTCTCCCAGTATAACTATTTTACATATGTTAGTTATGGTACATTTTTAGAGACTCAGATAGGAATGGGATAAAGGCTGTAACCAGGGAAGAAAATTGGCCCAGGCATTTAAAATCAGAGGTTTCCAGGGTTCCAGAAGGGTGTGTGCTGTATGTGTGTGTGTTTAGTGGCTCTAATGGGTGTTTATATATGGTGGTGCTGTAGTGAGTGTATAGACGCTGTAATGTCTAGTGTGTGTTTGTTTAGGGGATTTAGTATGTGTGTAGGAGGTGCAATGAATGTGTGCATGTGTGTGTGAATGTGTTTGGTGGGTTTTTATGAAAAAAAATATTACTTTATTCCCCCTTACCAGCTTCTAACTTTTGGCCAGCAGGGCCACCATCAGGAAGGTACTACCAGTACAACTGTACGGGACCCAGGCTGCCTGGGGAGACCCGGCCCCTGCATTCCTAATGTGCACATATATATAGCGATTACCTCTATATATATATGTGCCACTGCAGGCTTCCCACTGCCTGTGTAGTGAAGAAGGGCCCAGAAAATGCAATCTTCAACTTCTGGCAATCCTCTTTCCAACTCTTGCAAGCCCACACCGTGGGTAACAATGGCAATGCTCCCCGTGGCATGCAGGTCGGGCTTGCAGGAGTTAGATAGAGGATTTTCCAGAAACTGAAGATTGCATTTGCTGGACCTCCTCTTTACTATACATATAGCTGGCAGCCTGTACAACCAGGGAGTGTAATGTTTAATGTCCCCCGTTACTGTGCAGGGGGTTGGGAGGAATAAAATGAATAACAATTTTTAAAAATTTCCCCGTGGAATACAGCACCTATCCTATTCCATATATACACACACACTGCATCCACTACACACGTTGCATCCACTACACACACTGCATCCACTACACACACTGCATCCACTGCACACAGACTGAATCCACTACACAAACACACACTGTCTAAGGGGCCACAAAATGATGGCAACCCTGCCAGGGAGAGTGGACATGTTGGAAGATCTTTGTCTCTACAAAGCACAGTTCTAAATGGCTTAGCTCATTGGCTAAGATCAATCAGCTGATGCTCTTAACCAATGAGCTAGCTCTCCATTTCTCCTGCTTTGAAGCTTTCAGTTCTCTGTTGGATATATTGGAGTACAGGGGTTGGCAACATTCGACACGTGTGCCATGCATGGCACTCGAGGTGCCTTTGCATGGCACTCAAGATTGCTAGAGTCAAACAGCTTCTGGCCTATCAGAAGTCCCAGTGGGGGTGACAGATGTCTGCTTGTGCAACCTAAGCGGTGATTGCAGGTGGTGAGGTGCAATTCCTTAATTTATACATTGCAACACTTAGAGGAAGTGAACAGGAATCTGTACTGGAATAGAGCAACCAGCAGCTGATATCACAGCTCCTGTCCTTGACTTTACCTGGCCAGTCCAGTCCCCAGTTGACGCCGGGAAGCAGCCCACACTGCTAGATATACACAGAACTGCAGAAGAAGTCTTCCTCACACACATAGTCCCCACAAACACAGCACCACTGACAATCCACCCACATAACCTGACAAGCAGGTGCCATAACTAGCCCCATACATGCACATACCACCAAACACACAAAGTGACATATCATTGACACACACAATTCCACAAGTAGCACCCATACATATCCCACATTCATAGGTATACACAATACCACAAACTACTCATGAAAATATACTGTACAATATAACCACCTTCACATGCACAAAAACAATGCTACAAAGAAACTGTAGCACCCATAACTAACACAAGCAGAATATGGCAACATACAAAACTCAATTTAAAAAAATGTAATCAGCATGCCAAGGGACTTCAAAATCTTGTTTTGGCACAGTACTACTAAAAGGTTGCCTACCCCTGACATAGTATCAAGTAAGCTCTCCAAGTATAATGCAACTAACTTATTGTTTTAACCCTTTTAAGGCTCAATGATATTAAATAGGAAATTATCACTTCCCAGGATTTTTAATATTATGTTTACTTAAAGGGAAACTATAGTCACCAGAACAGCTACAGTTTAATGTAGTTGTTCTGGTCGGTACAGTCAGTCCCTGCAGGCATTTTCATTAAACACTGCAATTTCAGTGAGAGTGTTTACATTGCTCCCTAGGGACACCTCCAGTGGCAGTCACTCAGATGGCCTCTAGAGGTGCTTCCTGGGTCAGTGTTGCACATCATGTAGCACTGATGTTCAGCGTCTCCACGCTCTGCATGGAGACGTTGAACTTTCCCCATAGAGATGCATTTATTTAATGCATCTCTATGAGGAGATGCTGATTGGCCAGTGTGGCATTTGGTTCCACGCCCACCCCGCCTCATTGGCTGAGATTATAAGAATTGACAATCTCAGCCAATCAATGCTTTTCCTATTGTATATATTGTAATAACACTACAGGGTCAGGAATACTTGTTTATTTAGCCTTATATTTAACAAATATGTATTTGTGAGATGTGGAAAATAAAGTTAAATATAGAAATTCAGACCTTTTTATTCTGCAACCGAATGCTTCCATTTTAGCTCCCTTTCAATTAAGCTCAAGTTAGCGGTCATTTTCAACATTTTATTCAGTTGTATAAATTCCCGAGCGGTTACCCTTCAATGCTGTCACCAAAGTCTGGTTCCTAAAGTCCCTACACCAGCTATATACAGACTTGCGACTTTTAATTGAACAGCCATCCCATTTTGATATACAATTTCTATGAAATAATTATTTCACCACTGGTCCTTAGTTCGTTAGTTCAGTAAGAAGCATTAACACAGTCTTTATCTTTGCAGGGTATAGAAGGAAGATCGGGAGAACCTGGGTACCGAGGTACCCCTGGAAAGGATGTGAGTTAAAAGGAAGCATTATGTTTATATTGTACCATATTCTTTATTGATAGATATATATTTAAATTCCAATGAAATGGCAAACTTGGAAAAGAAGTCACCATTACCATTTCAGAAAAAAACAAACTTTTTTTTAAAGGTTTTTAGCAAAACAACGGTTCCCAGAAGAACTTGTGGCTTAGCCGCAGCAAGCCAGATTGTTAATGTGAAAGTTCCACTTCCAATTTAGCAATATTCGTTTCATCCATTTTTGGATCGCAGTGATAACTGAAGTCAATCAGCTGAAGTGCTCAACCCATGACTGCTGTCTCGATAAAGAAGAAATTGATATTGCTGAAGCAAAAGCTGGACTTAAGCATGAGCTTAATAGCTAGAAAACGCCAGGTCACAGGTGCCTAACGGACCCTCTGTTTTAGTCATAATGCTCAAACTGTTCAAAAACAGTTTGACAAAGAACTTGATATATGTAAAGACCTGTACTTCTGATAACAGAGTCCTATTTACTGCTCCTTGTGAGTAATGTATTAGAGCTAAAACTGTGCGATATACTATACTATATACCAATGCCCTGTCCATCACAGGTGAAATGGTGCCAGAGACAAAGAATGAGTTTCAATCCTTCCACAAGGTCACCAATGTTTAAACCAAATTATTAGTTTTCTCTAAACTAGGAAATGGATCAAACTAAGACAGGAGAGTTTTGCTAGGCTCAAAAACTCTTTATATATAAGCTTCCTTGAGATAATGTAATCAAAATGCATAACGGTAATGAAAAACAACCACAACGACCACATTACAGGGCATTTATCTGCTCATGTGTCATAAATTAAAAAATGTCTGGAGATTAAGCAGTGACCAGAGATTTGCTCTCTTGCTTCCAGCAGATCTCCTTGTGGTCAATATGAATATCAATATGAAAGTGCTGGGAATTATTATATAAATGATTGACAGGATGTCCATCTGGTGCCTTCATTTACTGGGAATTACAGCTGCTTCCCCTGACTATGTCATTGTTATTCCACTTATTATGTATTTCCCCTGTAATTAGTTGGTTCCATTTATAAAACAGAGACAGAAACAAGATGAAGAACATTATAGAAACTAACACATTTCACTGCTACAAATATTTACTAATAGACAATGATGAGAAGAGAAAAATTAATATGCCAAAATGCACATGAGATGTATTAAGTATAAAAACTGATCTGTGTCTGCACTTGGTCCTAAATTAAAGTGTTTTGTAACGCACAGTGCAATCCTTGTTCAATAGTCACAAGGAAGAATTATATTATTATAAATGCAAATGTACAGAATAGATGAAGAACATTTTCAGGAACACTAGATGACATGGAAGTTAAAACTGGGTACTTGTACCTTAAAATTTAATCTTATGTAGGTAAAAAAAAAAATCAATGTACAATACTATGGTTTAACTTCTAATCAAATAAATAGAAGATCGCTGTAGCCACATATGTGCAAAGTTTGTGTGATATATTTACTACTCTCTTATTTGGAAATTTCAGGGACCTGCTGGTGTTGTTGGGTTAGAAGGATATGGTGGAGTAATAGGTTTAAAGGTATGTAGATCTTACTGCAGACCATTGGTGTTGTAAAGTTTTAAATAATAATAATACTGCATTTTTTACATGTATGCCTGCATGTAAAAAGATTATATATTTGTAGTATGTATTTATGAGTATACATGTAAAAACTTAAAGTATACATTTCACAGGGAGACAAAGGAGATCAAGGTCCACGTGGTCCACCAGGAATTGAAGGCATGCTGGTATGTTCCAGTATTTTTAGACATATATTCTGTTCATTTATTAAGGCCTGTCATTTATTATGTGAATGGACATATCATTTAAATGTACATTTATTTTATTCCAGACTGAGGGGTGATTTGTTGGCATTTAAAAGGAGTTTGAGAAAAACGGCACCCTTACACTCATTGATCCATAACCTGCAGGGATTATGGTGTCTAACTGGAGGGTTCCTTAAACATTTTTTTATTTACTGCCTTCGCTATCCTTTTATAAATCTTTACACTACTTTTCTGTATCACTTTAGATGAAATTTAAAAGCCTTCTAATAAAAACCGGACTCCAAGTAGACGTCCGAACTAATCAGTAATTAAGAATCATGTTGTCCACTCTACCAGAGACGATAATCTGTCCTTTCTTCACACCCAGACCCACATTTCTTCTTTTCAGTAGGGTTGCACACATTTTATGGAATGATCTCTCATGTCCAATCTGAGCCTCCTTAATTTCCAACCCTGTAATTAAAACCTAAAAACCCCTTTTTACTGAAGTTTGTCACATCGTATTTTATTTTATTTTCCTATTGCAATCAACCCCTATCTCTCCTTGAACAATTTGTCTGTCTATTATCTGCTCTAATCTTTGTTCACATTCTTACTCCATTGCTGCCATATGTCATGCACTAGTGTAAATACTGTGGCATCTAACCTCTTAGTCAAGAGCTAAATCTAGATCTCTGTGCTAATTTAGTGGCTTCCCTTGCTTAGAATTAGGACATCATTATTCATGTGGTCCCATTCAGTTTAAAAAATTTTTTTGATCCAGGTGTTGTGATCTGAAAAGTGCGTTAAAGTTCTAAAAGTGTGGCAATCACCAATGAAACCAGAGGGAATCAGCGAGCACATTCTTATAATGATTACTGTACTTTTAGATCTTTTTATCAGTACCATTTTATATATTCTCCCTTTTATACTTTGCTCTGTTGTTCTAGGGAGCTAAAGGTGCAAAGGGTGAGTCAGGGATCCCAGGGAGACCAGGACCACAGGGACTGAAAGGTCCAAAGGTGAGTGTATGACATCTATAACATAGATTATGTTAATAGTATAGAGGCCACAGCAAGGCACTGATTTCTTAAATGTTCAATTGCATGCTGAGCATTTTATTATTGCCATATATTTTATGCTCTTCTAACATATTTCCTTCTGTATGTACAGGGATCACAAGGTGACACAGGAGACGATGGTATAACGGTAAATAAAATAGATAAGACTGCATTAACAATGTTGTTCAGTACATTGACATCAAACTGCCTTTATATGTCTACATATATTTATCCCAGAAGAAAAAAAATAAATTAAAATAAATAAATTATAATAAAAAAAATAAAATAATAATAATAATATTATAATTATAATGTATATATAATATATGTAACACCTGTGAGTTGAATGGATTAGCTCGGCAAAGGAGAAGTGCTCACTAAAACAGATTTAGACAGATTTGTGAACAATATTTAAGAGAAATAGGCCTTTTGTGTACATAGAGAAAGTCTTAGATCATTGAGTTCAGCTCATGAAAAATGGGGGCAAAACAAAATTGTTGCATTTAGAATTTGTGTGTGTGTGTGTGTGTGTGTGTCTCTCTCTCTCTCCCTCTCTTATGGACAACATGTTACTGTTTTATTTTGCCTTTGCAGGTCTCTGAACAATAAAGATATTACTAGTCTGCTCAGAGTAAATGAATGTAACAAAATGGTTATAATTTTTCCTCAATTTAATTTGTTTTAATAGCTGCACGCAATACAAATCCCCATGTTTGCGTAAGCCTTCAGCTGAATTTCACAAGTCTGAGGCTGTTGCATTGAGTTTTCCAAGGATATTGGATCTTACATGAAACCAAAGTGTTGAAAACTCTATCCCAACATGTAATCTAATGTTTCCAGTATCATACATTCAGCGGGTTCAGATATATATCAGGTGGTGCTCCTCTACCTACTCGAAAAAAAATTTGTTTTGTTGCTTGCTCCGTAATCGAGAGGATGTTGAAGAGTCAGTATGTACCTGTCTCACTCTCTTACTTCTACAATAAAATAAAATGCAATCACTGCATAGCAAAATGAAAAAAATAACAATGTCAAAATATATCTAAAAAAACAGTTACCTTCACAATTCACGGGCAAATTAGTACATGAGGTTTAGATGATCACAGCTAAATGCTAAACATTGAATTAACAATGTCATGATCTTGGCCATTGGCTGGAGGATTGCTGTATACAAAGCAGACTTATCAGTAAAGAATGCAGCATAAATTATATGTAAAAAAAAAAAAAAATTATAAATCCAGAATGCAATTTCTTGTCTTAATTCCAGAAATAGCACTGGACTGTTTTGGTGTACCTCTCCCATTTTCAAGACATTAGGCCCAATTAACATTAAGAGAAGAACTATATAAATATATAAACATAAACAGAATGTAAGATAAATGTGTTTAAAACCTTTTAACCCTATACACTCTGTATCGAAAGCTGCCATAATCGTAACCCTACCACTAATTGCAGACCCCCTAACCTCACCCTGTCCATCGAAATGTTAGTGGTTCTGAAATGATTTAATTATGAATTCTATGACATCAACATTTAAAGCTCACAGTTATGATTGTGACATTTTAAATGTAAACACACATATAGCACATCCTTAACAGAACACTCACTGTCCAATAAAAAATAATAATAATACAAATCATTGTTTAGTAGATATACCCATAATAAAAAAATATTATACATTTACCCAAATATTTTTGTTGGGAGTCTATCTAAAAACTGCTAGGAAAAGCGACAGAAGCCTTTGCACTCTCAGCTCTTTTCTGTGGATGTCCTCTCTCACTGAGCTGCATCTGGAAGTCTATGAAGTATTTGCGAGGCAGGTGCTCTGAGCAATGGCCAGCCTCTTGAATTTAGCTCAACTGAGCTAAACACACCAGGAAGTAACAGGACTGGTTGTATGATTTACAGCCAGGGAGTGTAACTAGGTAAAATTTTAAAAGTGGTGATTTCTATTGAAATCTGTATTTTCTTAAAATGAAAACAAGGGAACAAGAGGACACTCTTCATGCATAAAGCACTTGAGCATGCTGAATTGCTTTAGGGTTTTGGAGTGTCCCTTTGATGGCAAAATTACATACATTATTTCTTTAAAACTTGTACATAAACATTTGAAGAAGAGCTTTAGTTACATTTGTGTTTGGTAACAGGATGATGATTGCAAGAATAATGCTAAAGAATTACAAAGAGTAAGGAGAAAACAAACATGTTTTTTTTTTAATATGAAATAGAAACATCTCATCACCGGTTAGGGTTAGATTGGCTACCTGTTTTCTGTATTATTTCCACTAATGACTATGTATAATATTAGTTTTGTATCTTATTTTACCATAAAATAATATTTTCAATGGCATGAAATTGTAATGATCAGTTTAAACACTTTTCTTGTAGGGAGACAAAGGAAGACAGGGAGTCAAAGGAAAAACTGGAGCTAAGGTATTTATCACTTTTTCAGTGCAACATATCTATGTTCTCTTACTTATGTTGACCATTTTCTTTTATATAAAGATTTGTAGTTAGTTTCGCTATACTGGTAGCTATTCGGCATAAAGTGGCACTGCATTTTTTGTAAATATGCAAAGACCCCCCCTACTAAAATGGTGTCACGCAGAGGAGAGAGCACCGACCTCTGGTGTTCTCTCTCCTCTGTCATTCCACCTCTGTCTTCATCTAATGGTGGTTTCCTCTGTCAAGAACTTTATCACTTTATTATTAAAAAAACAGGGTTGATGAAGACTCCCATTAGCCCAGATCCTTCATGGATCTTCCAACACATGTACAATGAGATGCCATAGACTTAGCGAAAGAATGTGTCTTTGCCAGTAATGACTGATGGGAAACAGCAAAATGTAGCAGTTGAAAAGCCCTTCTTTTTGCCAAGAATTGGGTTTTACTTAGGATTATGTATTCCAAACTTTATGTTTATGTTTTGATTATCAAAATTACTGTGAAATTCCAACACAGTTTGTGTGAGTTTTATATAATGCCTCTTTAAATCACAAATTACACATTTTGCTTGGTTGTTGGCATCAAATGTTCCAAGACACTTTTATTTTATTAAAATCACTAACTTATTTAGAGTATGAAAACTCATATGCAATTGTATATTGACAACAGCCTTACTGACACCTACCTGAATACAGAATTTAAAAAGTTATGGAAATTTAGCTATAATCACAGCCTGGCCATTTAACCTTCATGTTGCAATGTGGCTTTCTTGGAATATTGTGAATAACTCTGACAGGCTTATTTACTTGGTTTTTTTTTTTACACCAAACAGTGAACAGTAGTGTATTGGGAACATGAGGATAACATTTGAATTCACTTTGAATTCAAAATGAATTCAAATTGAATATCAAATTTAAGAGCACAACAGCCAAAACTAAATCATAGATGGCTTAGAGAATATATACAGGTTGGTTATTTTAACTTTTAAATTTGGATTTCACTTTAAATTCTCACTGAAAGGAAAACTATAGTGTCAGTAATACAAAATCTGTTATCCTGTGGAGAGCCCCTCAAAACCATGTTTCTCCCCTTTTGGATCCCTACAGTTACAGACCCAGTGGGAGTTTGGTTTGGACTTTTTTTAGTGGCCAGATCAGTAGACTTTGGCAAGGTTATTCACTGAAGTGAGAATTTCATATTTTAGTTTAGTTTTTCCAATTCAGGTATTTTGGTCTTAAATTTGAACTTCACGCCGAATGCTCACTTTAGTATGTAACCATGTACAGTCGGGTCCATAAATATTGGGACATCGACACAATTCTCATCTTTTTGGCTCTATACACCACCACAATGGATTTGAAATGAAATGAACAAGATGTACTTTAACTGCAGACTTTCAGCTTTAATTTGAGGGTATTTACATTCAAATCAGGTGAACGGTGTAGGAATTACAACAGTTTGTATATGTGCCTCCCACATTTCAAGGGACCAAAAGTAATGGGACAATGTGTGTGTTATTCCCTCATTATCCCATTTACAAGGAGCAGATAAAAGGTCCAGAGTTCATTTCAAGTGTGCTATTTGCATTTGGAATCTGTTGCTGTCAACTCTCAATATGAGATCCAAAGAGCTGTCACTATCAGTGAAGCAAGCCATCATTAGGCTGAAAAAACAAAACAAACCCATCAGAGAGATAGCAAAAACATTAGGTGTGGCCAAATCAACTGTTTGGAATATCCTTAAAAAGAAAGAACGCACCGGTGAGCTCAGCAACACCAAAAGACCCGGAAGACCACGGAAAACAACTGTGGTGGATGACCGAAGAATTCTTTCCCTGGTGAAGAAAACACCCTTCACAACAGTTGGCCAGATCAAGAACACTCTCCAGGAGGTAGGTGTATGTGTGTCAAAGTCAACAATAAAGAGAAGACTTCACCAGAGTGAATACAGAGGGTTCACCACAAGATGTAAACCATTGGTGAGCCTCAAAAACAGGAAGGCCAGATTAGAGTTTGCCAAACAACTTCTAAAAAAGCCTTCACAGTTCTGGAACAACATCCTATGGACAGATGAGACCAAGATCAACTTGTACCAGAGTGATGGGAAGAGAAGAGTATGGAGAAGGAAAGGAACTGCTCATGATCCAAAGCATACCACCTCATCAGTGAAGCATGGTGGTGGTAGTGTCATGGCGTGGGCATGTACATCTTGTTCATTTCATTTCAAATCCATTGTGGTGGTGTATAGAGCCAAAAAGATAAGAATTGTGTCGATGTCCCAATATTTATAGACCCGACTGTACATGGTTACATACTAAAGTGAGCATTCGGCGTGAAGTTCAAATTTAAGACCAAAATAGCTGAATTAGAAAAACTAAACTAAAATATGAAATTCTCACTTCAGTGAATAACCCTGCCAAAGTCTACTGATCTGGCCACTAAAAAAAGTCCAAACCAAACTCCCACTGGGTCTGTAACTGTAGCGATCCAAAAGGGGAGAAACATGGTTTTGAGGTGCTCTCCACAGGATAACTGATTTTGTATTACTGACACTATAGTTTTCCTTTAAGTGAGAATTTAAAGTGAAATCCAAATTTAAAAGTTAAAATAACCAACCTGTATATATTCTCTAAGCCATCTATGCTTTCGTTTTGGCTGCTGTGCTCTTAAATTTGATATTCAATTTGAATTCATTTTGAATTCAAAGTGAATTCAAATGTTATCGTCATGTTCCTAATACACTACTGTTCACTGTTGGTGTAAAAAAAACAAACAAGTAAATAAGCCTGTCAGAGTTATTCACAATATTCCAAGAAAGCCACATTGCAACATGAAGGTTAAATGGCCAGGCTGTCATTATAGCTAAGTTTCCATAACTTTTTAAATTCTGTATTCAGGTAGGTGTCAGTAAGGCTGTTGTCAATATAGAGTTTTCATACTCTAAATAAGTTAATGGAACTGGTTCTCTAGTATTTATTGATGATGTGACTGCTGACAAAAGCAGCAGGATGAATTCTGAAGTGTTTCGGGCAATATTATTCAGCCAAATGCTTCAGAACTCATTGGACGGCGCTTCACAGTGCAGATGGATAATGCATACTGCAAAAGCAACCAAAGAGTTTTTTAGGAAAGAAGTGGAATGTTATGCAATGGCCAAGTCAATCACCTGACCTGAATCCGATTGAGCATGCATTTCACTTGATGAAGACAAAACTGAAAGGAAAATGCCCCAAGAACAAGCAGGAACTGAAGACAGTTGCAGTAGAGGCCTAGCAGAGCATCACCAGGGATGAAACCCAGCGTCTAGTGATGTCTATGCGTTCCAGACTTCAGGCTTTAACTGACTGCAAAGGGTTTGCAACCATGTATTAAAAAGTGAAAGTTTGATTTATGACTGTTAATCTGTCCCATTACGTTTGGTCCCTTAAAAGGTGGGAGGCACATATACAAACTGTTGTAGTTCCTACACTGTTCACCTGATTTGGATGTAAATACCCTCAAATTAAAGCTGAAAGTCTGCAGTTAAAGCACATTTGTTTCATTTCAACAAGATTAGAATTATGTCGATGTCCCAATATTTATGGACCTGAATGTATGTGTTGGGTAGTATGGCTGGGACTAGTACCTCCAGATAGGAAGACCATGTAAAGGTACAACCTTATCATCAAGTTATACCTAAACTAGACATTGTTTGATATTCTCTTTTAAGTGACCTGCAGCTAACCATGTGCAATTTGTGAAATAATTGAACAGAAATAAACATTCGTGACACAATATATATATTTAATATGCCAAAAGACCTCGTGAATTTATTAAAGGTTACTACAAACACATTACATAAATAACCAACATAAACATAACATTCCTACTCATAAATTGCAAAGCCAATCGCTAAACTTCACAGCCTTAACCATATAAAATTTACCATATAGTCTATTTTCCCTCAAAGTAGAACAATGATACCCTTGAAAATACACAATGGAAATAACATATTGAAATAACACATAGTTTATTCCATTTTGCTATGAATAAAAAATAGCAATGCATAATCAAATATATAATAAATAAAGGTAGGGTAGGTGGGCACAGCGATTAAGCTCTATACCGCAGTCACCTCTTCCAAGCTTTATGGAAAAGGCAGGCAAGCTGCGCAACACATCTTCTTAAATACCCCAATTTCAAGTAGTTTTAGCGGCCAGTGACGCACAGGGCCATAAATGGTGTATTTGAATGTACATTGGCAGTAGTATTTGTGTTCTATGATTATTACAAGGGATACTATACATATACCACATAACAAAGATTTACATAAATATGAAACTGGGAATTTTTGATAGTTTTGTTTTAGTTCCAGTTTACTAATAAACTGCAAGTAACTTCATAATGGAACCTGGCCACATCTAACACATCTGATGATCTCTTTAATTTGGCAATCGCATCCTCAGTCTATAATAAACTTGTCTCTGGCTCTCTCATGCCAATCTCTCACTGTTTCTTCATTACTCACCCTCACACTCCTCACTTTGCATCCTTCAATTTGCTTTCATAAATCTCTCACAAATATACTAACCACATCTGGAAAATATATATTGTATGTTTAATACCCATTATTAATTCCATGATTTAACAGTAAAATAAATTAAAAAAAAAAATCTGCTCCTGTGCTAGAATTCCCAACAAAAATGAGCTAAACCCAATTAATGTCTCATATATGCATATTATACACCTAATACAATTGCTTCAGATTATGAAATATTCTATTCTTGAGAATAAAAACCCTGGTTGTATTTGGTTTGACATGAACACCCCACATACACAGACATAGGTGTGCTAAAGCCACTCTCAGCTTAATGTTAATTTCTTCTACATTTTCCCAGCCTACATCCCTTATTTTATGTATTTCCTAAACACCAAGAAAATGTGCAGGATTCATTATTTGTTAATTATAGGTAATAATGAGTTACACATGTTTACCAAAAATAATATTTTCTTGGCTTCACCACCTGTTTTCTTCAGACTCATTGGGTAGGAAACTTCGTAGCAGATGATAAAATGAAATATTCAGCAATTCCACTCAAAAATATATTATAAAAATGATATTATTATTGGTACATATGCAATAAGAAATACATTGTTTCTGTTCTGTTACAAGAAATTCTCCAGGCACTCAAGTTGTTAAAGCTGCAGGCAGCTTTAACAGAACAAGAGGAGCAGCAACGTTTCGACCTGCTGAGAGGTCTTTGTTAAGCTCAAGCTCAAGCTTGATAGAGACCTCTTAGCAGGTCAAAACGTTGCTGCTCCTTTTGTTCTATTTAAACTGCCTGCGGCTTTAACACTTTGAGTGCCTGGAGAATTTCTTGTGCTGCTTTGTTGTTGTGGGATTGCTGGTCCTGCTCCAGAGCAGCGGGTGGCTGTTGAGATTGAGTACGGCTCCTATTACCATTTTTGCAATATAGTATTTTACATGTCAGCAAGCATAACCAAGTCACAATTAATTATTTTTGTTTGACTGAAAACAGGGTGATGTCGGTAACACTGGAGACAAAGGATCAGTAAGTGAATTACATTTATTTATCTCAAGAAAAAATTGTCAAATGTTGTAGTTCAAATGTCTGTAAACCATAAAATTAAAACATTTATTTCAAGTAATTTTATTCTATAACCACATCTGTGAGAAGCAGCTTTACAAAAGTAGAAACCTCAATCTGCTGGTTCTGTGGATTGAGGCTGTGTATATAGTAGTCCAACATAGGCACAAGCTAGACCTCTATTATTTATAAAAATAATGGTGAGATATTTTTAATGTAAAAAGTCCAAGTGAAGGTTGTAATCAACTTCCATAGCATTGTACTGATATCAATAGAAACATGTCTGGAGGACACCAGAAATACAACCAACAACAGGAGATGAAAATTCTAAAAGGAAGTAATGAGTTAGATGGAGGGAAGGAGGTTGGAAACAGAGGGGAACGCAGGTTGGTCATGAGAGATATAGTAACTATCAGAGCAAGAATAAAACCTAAGATGAGGTAAGAAGTGAGCACAAATGAAACTGAGAAGGAGAAGAAGCATAAGGATCTGAGATGGTGGAGGTGATGTAAGGAATGTCAATAGACAGGACATAGAAAACTTACATTGAAGAAATATTGCAAAATATTGTAATGAATTTAATATTGTATTGGGTATGATCACTTACTCCACTGAAGGTGGGTCCTATGCTTTCATCTGCTCTAGTTCACAGACCTATGGGTTTTGTTATAGACCAGTGATTCCAAAACCAGTCCTCATGACTCACCAACAAACCAGGGTTTATGTATTTCCCTGTTTTTTTTCCAATGGAGATACTGACAAAGCCTGAACTGTCGGTGGATTTTGGGGACTGGTTTGGGAAACACTGGTATATACCAGTGTCAAGTTAACCTGGCCTACTGTTTACATGACTGCTAGGATCACCCATGTCATCATCTACCTGTGAGGTATTTGGGCTTATTTCCTGAAGCTATTTACACATACTTAATAGTAACATTTTTTTTTTAGTAGAAATAAAATAATTTAGGGCTTTATCAATAACCTGTAAATTGTGCAGAGTCGATGAGGAAATTGTAAGAGGCCACAGGTAGTCACACTGGAAAAATTCCCCTACTTTTGTTTTCCATCTCGGTGTGAAACATACAATTCTCTTGTCACTTCTCCAGAATTCCTAGTTTGTCGTATAAACATTTTTAAGTAAGTGTTATCATTTGGTAAAGGAAACCAGTGGGGATGTAATAGTGAGTAGTGTGTCATACGAGCACACATCCCTAAAAAAGCAAACTGAGAATATTTATACTTACGATTCTGGCACATAATATAAATTTAGAGGTATAGGTAACGACAAATAAAGAAACTAATAGTGTAATACGTAAAATATGGTGGAGTTAAAAGGAACACTCAAAATGTTGTGTGTATGTTTTTGTGGTCTTTGGTGTCGGGAGGTGGAGTTAGGGTTCAGTTTTTTTGAGACACAAAAATATGGTTAGGTTATCTTGTGAAGGAGAGCGTAGATGTCTGTATGTTGCAAGAAACACATTGAGCCAGGGTGATAAGTTGAACTTGGGAGGCAAGAGATACCTAACTATTGTCTACACTTCAATTAGTGTAAGGAAAAAGAGAGGTGCTGCTATAGTAGTTTAAAACAATGTTAATTGGGAGATTCTTTACCAAGAGTTAGATCCAGAAGGGAGATGTATGATTTTAGTATGTAATATTAGCGATGTGAAATATACTTTAGTTAATATATACCTCCTTAATGTTGCCCCAGTACCAATAAAATTAAATAAAATGCTAGAAAAGGTCGAGGTCAAAACATATTTATATATTATGGCTGGTGACTTTAATTGTGTCCTCGACCCTGTGATGGACAAGACACTCTTAAAGGGGAGTGTTGTAAATAATAAAGTAATTAATATTCTAAATCATTACCTAACACTCTAAATAACTTCAATCTTTTTGACGTCTGGCGAGTTCTTAATCCAGAGATTATACGCACCTGTCTAGAGTACATTTTATATACTCTAGAATGTATATGGTCTGGAGTAACCTGAATCTGGTCGAAAATTTGAAGAACATAAAAATCTTGACTATACATAGTTGGACCACAGCATGATCCTTTTTGATATAAAAGATAGTTTTCCAATAAAAAAATAGAACTATGTGGAAATTAAATAACTTCCTGTTGCATAATAAAAACAACAAGATAAATGAGAAAGGTTAGTTAAATGCTATTTCAAAGAGAATGACCCTTCCGACACATCATTTTTTACTACGTGGTGTGCAGTTCTGAGAGGATATTTTATTAAATTGATGGTGCCTGCTAATGTCTAGCCTGAACAAACCGATGTACGCTGTCGCAGCGCACTAAGCCCCTCGCAGTTATATCTTATGCCAGAACACGTAATGGGTTGCCCTATAATGGTTGCTCACCCACTCATGGTCGTATGTGGCTCTGCTTACATATAGTGCAGCCCCACCTTAAGCCTTAATCTAACCTGAGTTAAACCACTGCTACACGTTTAAGACTTGTTCTTATGCAAAATCTGAAATTGTTCATGCCAATATCTAGTCTGCACGTTATTGAACTGTCTGAAATCTTCTGTTTAGAAATATGACTCTTGCCTTGACATACTCTCTTCATATTTAGCATGATAATATAACATACAATTGTGCTGTTTAATCGCATGCCATGTCAATCTACTGTTCATGATAAGCCTGCGATTGCTGTTGTGGTGCTGCAAGATCAAATGTTGTTTGTTTTCACATGCACAAGAAAAATAAAGAATAAAAAAAATAAACACCGACGTCAGATTGGTTGCATCCATCTTAGCTAAACGTCTTAAAGACTTAATCGGGAAATTATTTCATATGGACCAAATTGGATTTATACCCAGTAGATGGTCATGTTTTAATACAAGAAGAGTAATAAGCATCCTTGATAGCTCTAAAAGGAAAAATACACCGCTCCTAGCTATAGCAGTTGATGCCGAGAAATTTCATTTCATTAGTTAAACTGGAAATTTCTTGAATGTGTATTATTGTCCTATAATAGCAATGGTTGGCTGTTAAATGCAATTAAGGCATTGTAGAAACAAAACCTACAGCCAGAACGGCTGGGCCAAATGTTTGCTCTGATTGGTTTACAATAAATAATGGTGACAGACAGGGTTGCCCACTGTCACCATTGTTATACATACTCTCAGTTAAATTGTTAGCTTCAAACATTTGAAGTAACTATAAAATCCGTGGGTTTAAGATAGTGAATTAAAAATCTGCTTGTATGCAGATGACATTCTGTTTGCAATAAGTGATCTTTTAATTTTATGATTTGAGAATTTAATGACTACAGCCTGGTAGCTAATTATAAACTGATGATGACACACAAGATGAGATCAGCAAGAAACATAAATTCATATGGGCCAGAAAAAAGTTTAACTATTTGGGAATTTGGATCACCAAAAACCTAGATAGATTGATGTAGGTTAACTTAATTAACCTTCTGAAAATAGAAAACCAATTATTCATATTGGAGACACCTACAGATAACCTGGTGTGGCAGAATTCACATTGTGAATTCATATCTTATACCAAAATGGAACTATCTTTTTTAAATTGTACTATTGTAAGTCCAAGATAGCTGGTTAACTCTCATAAAGAACAACACTGAAACCTTCATTGGTAGAGCAAAAAAACATAGGATAAACAGGGTAGCCTTATGTCTTAAACCTAAATACAGTGGTCTAAATTTCCCAATGTGAGATTTTACTACCTGACCAATATAATAGCCTATGTCTACAGAACTCAGTTACAAACAAGCTCCGCTGAGGGTTGGTACAAAATTAAAACAGAGGCATAGGGCTTAAAAGACTCCACTTGTCTTATCTGGAAAAAAAAATATTAAAACAATGGGAGTTCCTATTGTCAATAATAAAATACTGGACCAAGCTCTTTCAGTTTGGGAAGAAATTAAAAGGAGACTAGGGATACAATATGCTGTTTTAGACAACATAAACGACTAATCATTAACTAGATGGGGTAATCTATAATTTGGCCCAACAATTTGTATATGCCCACCCAGGATCCTTTGCGGTTGTAACATCACTGCAAATTTGTGATTTCTGTGGCAAAAGCAAGTCTTATGGCTTGACTGGTATGCAGATTTTTGTTTAACATCGTATTAACTATCCAAAGACTCCAGGTGGAAGGGGTTTTCAATCACATTTTTTCCCCACCATAACCTTTTTGTTTTTTGCTTCCCAAGCACTACCAAGCCTCAATAGCAAACCAGTAACCAACCTCATGCTGATGATTTGCATTAACAACGAAACAGCTGTCCATGAGTGGTTCACTGGCTTTTCATCTTTTCCTAAGTTGTGTTTTAAAGCTGTTGCATACAGCAAACACAGACTCAAAGGAATCCATGTTTAAAATGGAATGAGGCAAAAAATGTGATTCTTTGTTGAACTAATTTGCATACGCCCACCCAGAATCCTTTGCTGTAGTAACATCACTGCAAATGTGTGATTTCTGTGGGGAAAGCAAGTCTTATGGCTTCACTGGTGTGCATATTTTTGTTTAACATTGTATTATCTATCCTTCTTATATGGTTACATATAAAACTCAATAAAGAATAAAAAAGGAAAAAAAAATTATACACTCACACTTTTTAGGAGCTTAATTTCAGCTCCAACTTGAGCACATGGGCGCATTTATCCCTGCCTACGGATATAGTGAAGTACAGGTTCTGCACGCATTCCTCATAGTGATGGGTATTCTCTTTTGTTTTAGAGTGTAGTAGAACTTAGTGCCGTAGGTTGCTGGAAAAATAAATAAAGTCACTGAGGGGAGGCATTGATTGCTGAACACTTAAAAAAGTAGATATCCCAATCTCCACAACTTACTGAAGAAATACCCAAGTGGAGAGCAAAAGAGGTTTTGCTCAATTCGTATGACGTAGGAGGTATAATCCCCACCATGGAATTTGCTTGTACAATCTTTCTCAAAGTGTTGAAGGCATGTATAAGACCTCTGTAGCAAACTGTTTGAGAAGAACTTATTGATAACTATTTTATGCAGCTTTTTGTCCATACACAGATTTTTGCATATATTGGTTTCAACTACATACTTTATACTTTTCAAAACTAGGTTATTCCTTTCATTTTCTGGTTTCAATGCCATTTAACTCACCTAAGATGGCATACTGTATATAATATATCAAGGGGTAAAATGGTGGGTTCAATGATGCAATATATTTAAATATCTTTATTTTGAACATTACAAAGATAAGAACAAGGGAATTGCAGTTAGATGACCATGCCTGGCATGACTATAAGCAGGGATACATAATGCTTTAGTCAACACCTAAAATTGGCCTATATGGGCCAGAAGAGGTGATTCACATTAGGCACCAGGTCACTACCCACAAAAAATTGTTCTGCATTTTCCAGTGCAAAAAAAACCCCATGCTGACACTGAATAGCCTTATGAAGACATGTTTTGCAGAATTCTAGTATATATTTTACACAAAGTACACAATTTACACAATGCTGATCCTGGTCAAACTGGTCAATGAACCACTGCCTTAGACCAGTGTTAGAACAAACCATAATAGTTTACAATAGTCTATATGGCATTCCTTTTTAAAGCTTTATTTGTTATACTTTACTTTTGTATCAATAGTGGTTATGATGGCTATGTTTGGACAAGTCCTCAAAAAGAGTATTATTAAAATATGTAAACTTCATTATATCAAGGTATTTTCAACTTTACCTTTTACATACAGCGTGGAAAACGAGGCTCTCCAGGTATATTGGGCCCGATTGGGAGAACAGGTGTCCCTGGATCACCAGGACCAAGGGGTTATCGCGGCCCAGTTGGAGATAGAGGAGAAAGAGGTCCTCCTGGATCTCCTGGACTTACTGGTCCTGTGGTAAGGAGACCTTAGAGGTCATCTTTTTCTTAATTTGTAACAGTCAATGTTGTTTGTTAATCTATTTATTTATTTATTTTTTACTACAAAAACATCTTACAAATGAAATATCTTTGTATGATACAATGTGGCACATCATCAGTAATACAATATTAAAATGCATTACTTACTATATTGCACATTTTATATTTTACATATCATGCTTTAACTTGTAAACCATTGTCTGTAGGTTATCATTCATTAAGATATACACATACTTTACTTGTCTTTTTGTATTCATTTCATATATTATGCTACTGAAGATATTGCTATAATTAATTTCCTTTCTAGCAACAATTTTACAAAATACAGATAGGGGTAATTTATTTTACTTGTTATCTGTGTGTTCTTATCTGCAATCTGTAACTTTAATGTGTAGCTTTTTTCTGTAATGAGTAGCTCTTTCAATGTTATGGTTTGTTGGTTATCATTTTATTACATTTTAGTGGAACCATAGCAATGTAGGTAAAGTAATGGGTTTCTCCAAACACATACAAACTGTTGTTTGGATGATGAAAGATCTCAGATGTGAAGCTTGTGGTGTATTACCAAACTCTATAAATTATTATGTACGCATACACATATAAACTCTGGTCCGTCTACTTTAACAAATATTTATTCCGAGACAAAACAACAACAACATACAAATAATGACACACAATCTAACTAACTATACCACCAACAACAGCAACAACAACCTAACTAACAATAACAACTACATCTTATAAAATCACCAGATCCCACTCACAGTTCACCATGATAGAAATTAGGCCATGTCTGCTTAAGGGACTGCTCAGTAGCACAGCCAAGAAGGAACAGGGAGGAATGGAGATAGGGGGAAGTGGTTACCTCTTTCCTGACTTGTAAAGGTATTGAATTACTCAATTACAATATCAAAAGGTAAAGCTTATCCCACTGCATGAGCTTGGTCACATGATCCCTGGTCACCATATTAGTTTGATGACAGAATGTTTATAGCCCAAGAAACTCTTGAAATAATAAAAACATTTTTTAATCAAAGTTGTCAACTTGTGTTTTTCCCATTCCACAGATATTGTAGTTTCAATTTTCTATATTCCTGCAATCTCACTTAGAATGTAATGGATACCCAGGCAATTAAACTATATAATCCATTTATTGAGTGATATATCATAAGAATCCTAAGGTCCAGATTAGTAAATGTTTTAGCGATTTTTAATGACCCACACACTGTATACTGACAGAAAATCTTCTGACATCAGGACTTTCAAAGAAAGCTCTGTAGGCAGCTCCTTGATGTTCATCTACTGTACTGCACTCACTCACACTTCACGGTGGAAGCCATCTTATTAGAGATACAATCGATTTAATCAATGCATTGGATGCAATGTTATTAGCACAATGTATGACTTTATGAAATTTGTATGCCTATATTGATGTAACTGAATGTTAATGTTTGTGTTAGAGATGAATCTTGCAAAGTTGTTTTTTTTCAGAGCTTCACCAAGTTGAAGTAAAAATAAACAGACACTTTACATTTGTTTTTAGATAGACAGACTAATAAATTGTCATTTGTATTTTATGGAAAAATATGCTTTATATCCTTCACCTAGGGTCCAGATTTGTCAGATCAAATAGTGTATGAGCTGTGTCGTAAGGTGGTTATACAGAGTGTGTCCCAATATGCCGCCAGCATTAGAGGGAAGTGTGCTACGGCATGTCCGACAGCCAACGTGTCATTAATAGGACCGCCTGGACCTACAGGAGTACCAGGAAAAGCAGGAAAGAAGGTAAGTGTTTGGCATACATAAAATAATACAGTTATTTTGTGCTAGCGGTGTTTTCTATATTATTTGACATTTCCATTAGCAAGTCTAGAATTACATTCTAAGCTCTGCATGACTTGAAAATTATCGGCATCCTAAAAATCCACATTTGAAGGGATTCTATAGGTATCAAAACAACTTTGGATTTTTTAAGTAGTTTTGGTGTATAGCTTATGCTGCTGCAGTCTCACTGCTCAATTCTCTGCAATTTAGGAGTTAAATCACTTATGTTTATGCAGCCCTAGCCACACCTGTCCCAGCTGTGACTCATGCAGCCTGCATTAAAAAAATAAAAAAATAAAAATTCAATCAGATTTTAAAGGAACACTATAGTCACCTAAATTACTTTAGCTAAATAAAGCAGTTTTAGTGTATAGATCATTGCCTTGCAATTTCACTGCTCAATTCACTGTCATTTAGGAGTTAAATAACTTTGTTTCTGTTTATGCAACCCTAGCCACACCTCCCCTAGCTATGACTGACAGAGCCTGCATGAAAAAAAAAACTGGTTTCACTTTCAAACAGATGTAATTTACCTTAAATAATTGTATCTCAATCTCTAAATTGAACTTTAATCACATACAGGAGGCTCTTGCAGGGTCTAGCAAGCTATTAACATAGCAGGGGATAAGAAAATCTTAATTAAACAGAACTTGCAATAAAGAAAGCCTAAATAGGGCTCTCTTTACAGGAAGTGTTTATGGAAGGCTGTGCAAGTCACATGCAGGGAGGTGTGACTAGGGTTCATAAACAAAGGGATTTAACTCCGAAATGGCAGAGGATTGAGCAGTGAGGCTGCAGGGCATTTTCTATACACCAAAACGGCCTCATTAAGCTAAAGTTGTTCAGGTGACTATAGTGTCCCTTTAAGTTACTTTAGTTTTTATCTTCTGCTCTGTAAATTGAACTGTAAACACATATAGGAGTTTCCTGCAGGGTCTAGCAAGCTATTAACAGAGCAGGAGATAAGAAATTCTAAATTAAACTGCATGTGCAATAAAGGAAGTTTAAACACTAGATCTCTCTTTAAAGGAAGTGTTTAGGAAGGCTGTGCAAGTCACATGAAGGGAGGTGTAAACAAAGTGATTTAACTCCTAAATGGCAGAGAATTGAGCAATGAGACTGCAGGGGCATGGTCTATACACCAAATGTAATTAATTAAGCTAAAGTTGTTTTGGTGCCTATAGTGTTCCTTTAATATATAAAATACATATTAGATGGGGCATGGATTTGAAGCACATAAGGAAAAATTGGTCTAGAAACACAGTGAATATGAAAATTGCTATGGTTGGAGCTAAAAGCAAGCCTTGCCCATTTGCCACTAGAGTAGTATGTCCCTCATTGTCTGCGAATGCTATGGACAGAATATGTTAGAATGGTTATCTTGCTATATACACAATAATAATAGTGTGCTTTGTTTTTAAATGAAGAGGTTAGCAGTGGAATAACATGTAGCATTTTGAAATATCTCGAGTTGACTTTAGGCTTTTTAATAAATCCCCAAAGCACATTCATTTAAAGCGAAGTATAATAACACAAATAGTGTTCCAGAGAAAACACATTTAGCAAACTAAACACCATTTGTTATGATTGATACTATCTTTATTTCCTGAGTATTTATAAGTATATCAATGCAACAAGGCATTGTATGTAAAATTCTTTATAGAGATTATCTTGTCAGTGTTTTTACAGGGCTCTTCCACCAATTTTCCTCACACCATGATAATCTTTCTGATATCACATGCATTTTGTATTCAAGGTGTTTAAAAGAAATTCACAATCAGTTTTTAACTTTCATACATTTGTTCATACTCCCTAGTACAAACATTAACGGCTGTTATTCTGGCCCATTTCAGGTAAAATAGTTCCTATATTTATTGCCTGATTTTAATATTCAATCATTTTTAACAGGGAAAACCAGGTGCAGCTGGGTCCAATGGCATCCGAGGCCCAAGAGGTCCTCTTGGTGTTTCTGGAGCCAAAGGAGCTGATGGAGACAAAGGTAAGTCTGCAACTGCAAGATCAGCTTCTTTTTTTTGTGCATCTTCTAGTTCATCATAAATTTTAATCGTATGTGTCTGCAGGTAACAGAGGAGAGAAAGGAAATATAGGAGACCCAGGAACTGGACTTCCAGGACCAGATGGAGTTCAAGGACCTACAGGTTAGTACCAATATACTGTGTTGTCCTTTAGAACAGATTAATCCCAATTCAACAGACATTCATGTTTATGTGATACATCATTCTGAGTTTTGGGGAGTTAATAATGCCAGCTTATGGTAAAAGTGAATCTCTCATGACATGTTCACTTTAACATAAATAATCCCAATATGCATTGAATACATAATATACTACAGAGATACATGCTGTATTCAAATATAATGCTTAGAGATATTCGATAACTATACCTCTAACCCAACACTGCCATGTCCTCCTGTTTGTGAGCGTCACTCCTCTGTAAACACCCACCCTGCTCCGCTATTCTCTTCTTTGAAGTGTCCCCAAGCAGAGCAAACCTCCTTTGTGATGTCAACAAGCTGGTTTCATTGCCAACATAGTGATTTTCTAAACTGATTAACGTAAGCCACACCATTCCCGTACTTTTTAGCAAGCAGCTAGGGAGCTACTGTAGCAACCACAGTGCATGTATCTCATCATCATCTTTATTTTAAATGCACAAACCATGTCCGTCATGAAAGGGGACATTAGAGCATTTTACTTGTAGATTTTAAAACAAAAATCATAAGCCATGTATTGATTGGATAAGGGAAAGGCACATTGATTTTGGCTTATAAGATAGCAAGTTGAAAAGATGTCAAAAGTCCAAAGCATGTGAGTGAGTTTCATAGCAGTCCCCCTAGCTCCTTGTTGGGGGTTCTCATTTTAATCCAGTATATTACATGCTACATAAGAATTGGCTTTTTGTTCTTAGGCTGCATTCACTGGTACTCAGTCTGCTGAAGCTGAGGCCTGATGTGACGTGTACGAGAAATGCACCTTGGATACTCTTAGTCCAGAACACAGAGATCTTTCTAATGTTACCAAGTCAGTCACCTTTACATTCCACCTTGAAGAGTGATGTATATTGCAGACAAATGCTTGCCATATTCAATTAAGTTTATTTATTTGGTCATTTTTTTTTTACATATGTCTCAACATGTGCTTAGTGTTTAATGGTGAGCAGTGAATTGAGTCTTGTGAAAAGTTTTATTTTCGCACAGTGTCTAGGTTAGGTGAAAAACAAGAAATGGAAAATGTGACCATGGAAACTTCATCACTTTAACCCAGCACTGATTTCTGTCATTTTGACATATCCTGTTATATTGCATACTTTAAGAAAACATATACTCTACATCTCAAGGTGGATTTTTTTATTTCCTTTTTCAATTGACTAACTTTACAGATTTAACCATTTACTTTACCTTACTTTAGGATATCCAGGGTACCCAGGGGTTGCCAAGGATGGAGCAAATGGACCTCAGGGGCCTCCGGGTTACAGTGGTCCACCAGGTCAACAGGGGCTGCCAGGTCAAGCAGGGGTTCCAGGATTCTGTGAAGCCAGAGACTGTGGCATCAATGCTCCCTCGATGTTGAGTGAACAGGGTCTTTTTTCCAAGAAACTGTTCTGAGAAATTGCAACACATACCTCAAAGAGAAGATGATAATACAGAGTGTTTGTGGACTTTGATAGACTAACACCTGAGGATGAAATCTGTAGACATTCAGGTGCAAGATGAGATACACATGTTCTGTTCTGAGGAACAAGCCTACATTTCTGCAGTCTTGCACACAGTTAAAGGGAAATTATCAACCAATAAAACCCAGAACTGTTTGTAACTCATTCCTATTGAAGGTAATTTTATGCATAAATCTTGTCAGCTGCCTGCCACAAATTAGAGCGGATGGCTATTTTCGTGCCCAAAATAAAATAAACCAGCTTGTTATGAGATACATAGGACTCCATTGGAGGCTTCTGGCAAAATTGAATTGCAATTGTAGTCAGCAGTGTCATTTCTTAAATGGCAAGACAAGCTCAAGTAGGGACTGCCTTTCTTTTTACTCCATCACGCTATCAATAGCACAAAATAAAGATTGTTAGCACCAATACTGGTCATTTTATCGAACAGATCATTTAGCCTATATACAGAACTCTTTGACCAGTTCCACTAATATGAAAACTAGACAGCAGGTATAGAAAAATACTCAAACACTTGTTATTTAATTAAAAATGTAAAAAAATAGCTTGATGTTAATTAATAATGTTGTATTTTGACCTAAAAGAATAATAAAAAATGGATCTTGATAACCGAATGTACAGGAATGCTGGGTACTATAATGAGTTGAGATATGTGAGCAAGCTGTGCATGCATGCTCTTATCGAGGCCTAGAGCAAACGTTGATCTTAGGGAAGATATAGATCAGGGTGTCACATGGTGCACTTACAAAGCCACAAGAAGAAACATTGCCACTTCTGATGTATTTGTCTTTGTTCTTTGTGAATGAAAAACTGTCAGGGCTATTTTATAATGTGGGAATTGATATAAATTCAATGTGAATTCGAAGTGAATTAAAATTTGAAGGCAAATATAGTCAAACTGTAAAAAGCTCCTAGTCAGCTTGCTATGCTTCTACTTCAGGAACTTTGACCTTAAATCTGAAATCCACTTTTTTCACTTTAGTAAATAATACTGTGTGACTTTTTTTTGTGTATTTTGTGTTGTGAAACATCTACAAGCAAAAGCATGGTTTTGAGTTTGTGCAAAACATTATCATGGGGTTTAGATGAACTGAGTTTATGGTCTGAAATTGGGTGGTAAATTTTACTTACAAGCTAGTGGCTGGTTAAGTGGTTTGCTAGATCTTGTCAAACCATAGAACATTGTTACTCTAGAGATCTGCTGGTAGACATTTATTTTTATAGCAGTAAAAGGAAGTGCTCATTGTAATCATTGTTTGATAATAGGTAGTAGATGCAAAGTCTGAGTATTATACTTCACAACTCTTAGTTAAGTCCCTCACAAACTTTGCCAGACACAAATTGTACAAAACAAAGAAAAATCATCTGTCTCAGGACAACAGTGTGCTCTATGATTCAGAGATTTCATAACAAAGCTTGCAGGTACTGTATATACATGTGCTGTAGTTTACAGATGTTACATTAGTGGGGTACTGCAACTCAACTACAACGACTCTTATTATATGGTAATATGTCTGCATTTATATGCCAATAGTGGCAGAAATTGCTGGTGTCCAATATTGTCACAACCTATTGCACTATATTGCAAAATATATATGGATGGGATGCTGTACAAAAATAATAGCTCAAAGTTGTTACTGTATAACAGTTGCACACACATTGAAAATTTATATTAAAGAAGGATTTCCCTATTCATGAAATGTGCTGTTATGTATGCACATAAAAACTATAAATTATAGACCTTGATTTTTTTTGGGCCTGGTGACATTGTAGTTATTTCTCTCCATTCGCATTGGTATGCCTTATAAAGCATTTGCTCCTTTTAATCACATTTACTATTTTTTTACATACCGAGTAGGTAGACCAAAATGTCTGTAGACTCCACGTTATTGCAGTTGGAAGTTTGTGTTGGCATGTTAACCTTGGTTATGACCATTCATTAAACCATTTCCTGTCATACCATATAATCTCTATTTTTTTTTAAATATACTTTTCTACTTTATAGGAAAGGTTAAATTAACCGAAAGGTACACATTTTATCAACCGTAGAAGACTAACATTAAGATGAACTTGCTAGGAATCAAACCTGCCATCATGTGGTGGGAACAAGCATTACATAATGTTTAGGCACATATGCCAAGGTCAATGTTGTCCCATGTCAGTGTATTTTACATGATTATGTTGTAAATATATTAGATGCTGTTTCAATAAATTCATTCTGACAGGGATAAGACAGAAACATTTAATCTCAACAGGTTAAATGCACATTAGCAAAAACCGTTCTACATATACTTCAATGCTTTCCAAATCGACTATATCTTATTCCATACCCCATGGTATGTTGGCCATCATACAACCTGAAAACATTGATGAGGTTTAGGGCCTAAATTGATTAATCATTGTTTCTAAACACAACTCTAGACATATTTGCACAATTTATAATTACATATACTATTACAGTGTCATTTTCAACAACCAATTGAATGCCTTACTGCCCTTTAGTGTATTTTATCACCTTTTAGTTCCTCTTGCACACCTTTATGTCCCTTACACCACCTTTGTGTCTATTACCACCCCCTGTTTTCCTTACCTCCCAATTTGTCTCTTTGCATCCTTTGTGTACCATGCCCCCCTGCCCATTTTGTGATTCTTAGTGCTAGCATGGTCCATGTGGCGACTGTACATAGAATGACTGACGGGTGGGGGTGCACCCCACTCGCAGTGGTCAGTCAGCCTTTGTGAAAGAGCCCTCTCAAGGCAGGCTGGTGTGTGCGTAATCTTCTTGCTCTGCTCCCTCATGCACCGCTTCGTGATGCTGGGGCCAGAGTGACATCATATCCAAGCTCCTGGCACCACAGAAGGGCACGTGAGGGAGCAAACTAGAACATTACAGCTCTGACTGATCTGCGGCTATGTAGCCCCATACGCAACAAACTGCGATGCACTGTGTGTTTTAAAACCTTTCTATCATGGCCAGTATTAAAGGGAAACTATAGTGTGATGTCCCTTTGTGCTCTGTCCAGCTTGGCCTTCGCTCATTCTCCCACGACACCAGCCAACGTTGGGGACCCAATGCACATGTCGCGCTCACATTAGGACTACTCCATGAATCAATACTTTCCTATGGGGTTTTAGCTGACATTTGATATCCTCATGCAGTGCGTGAGAACGTTCAGAGTCACTTAGGTGATCAAAAGTCGCCTAATGACTTTTGCTTCTAATGGCTGTTTGGTAGACAGCCAATAGAGGTGGCATTAACCCCTAAAATGTAATTATTGCCGTTTTTCAATAATTACAATTGCAGAGCTAAACTGGGGACACTGCACCCAGGATACTTCAATCAGCTGAAGTGGTCTGGCTGCCTATAGTTGTAAGGGGATATCTTCTACTGTGATGGCGCCTGGTTCCTCTTATGGGAGAATGCAGTGGTCTGCTTTTAGGTCTAGTAGCCACTGAGCCTTGGTGTTATGTGAAGCTTTTTTTCTCCCAGATGTTCTTACAGTACTGTTCAGTCTTTGTTCTATGCGTGTCTTGGGTGGATATGTTGTGGTTACCCTGCAGCTGTGCATACACATTGGTGCTTTTCTAGGGTATCTGCTCAGTTTGGTTGCTAGTTCTATCAGCATTTGCTTAGCTGTTTCTAGTGCCTCTGGTATGAGTATTGCCTTGTGTATCTTCTGTAGCCAGGAGCTCTCCTTGATCATTCCGCCTCTGTGATGTTAATCCAATTTACTAACTTCCTTTACATGTTGCCTTTATCATGGCTTCCTGTCTCCATGGTGGGAATTGTTTTTCCTTCTGCCTAAACTTGTTGTGAAGCAGTTGGAAGATCACTAATGCAGTGGCATATATAGAAACATAGAAACATAAAATGTGACGGCAAATAAGAACAATTCAGCCTATCTAGTCTGCCCAATTTTTTAATTATTCTCATTAGGTCCCTGGTCTTATCTTATAGCTAGGATAGTCTTATGCCTATCCCACGCATGCTTAAACTCCTCCACTGTGTTAACCTCTACCACTTCAGCTGGAAGGCTATTCCATGCATCCACTACCCTCTCAGTAAAGTACTACTTCCTGATATTATTTTTAAACCTTTGCTTCTCTAATTAAAGAAAGTGAGTGGTCAGTGAGGGGTCTACACATTTCGTGCTATCCATGAACTTTCTTAAGACCACGGATATCATGAAACACCAAGACTTTGTCAGTAGCATGATAAATTGAGCGTTCTGTACTGCAGTTCATTTGTGATAACTATCTGAACAAATGGAATTTAAGAGCAAGGAGCAATGGAATGTTTCCGGTGGAAGTAGATTAATCAATTTTTGTGAAATAATTGAATTAATTTTAACCCCATATTTAGTCTACATGACTGTAGGCAATACCATTGCAACCCACCCTACCCTAACAATATGTATTAAACATAACATGCAAGTCATTAAAGTGATTGGTGGCAGGGCTATATGTGAGTATGCAGGAATGTATTACTCCCAAATTTAAGATACTCCTCACTTTAACCAACTGAAAAAATCACTGTGATAAAGTTACATGTGCTTAAGTATTGTAACAAAAACAAAGGATATGATAACTCTGAGAACAGACAAAAGCTTATTAGAGAAACTCAGGAGCTTGCCCTTCGATAAATCCCCCTCAGGTCTCAAAATAGTTTTTGCTCGCTTGTGACATTACAGAAAGAACGTATCTGAAGCATATCAGACTGATCCAGAACCAGAGTTCTCTCTGCACAAGTGATACAGCAACCCCAGACGATCAGCCTTCTTTGAGCCTAGAGGGGTTCAGCTACACCTCACTGACGAGGCTCAAAGAGGGCCAAAACGATCATCTGGGGATGCTGTATCTCTTGTGCAGAGAGAACTTGTTGGCATTTCAATTCTGGACTTCTTTCTGAACGGGTGGGATCAGTCTGATATGCTTCATATATGTTCTCTATGTAACGGCACATGTGAGCAAAAACTATTTTGAGACATGAGTGAGGATTTACCGTTTTTCTAAATTTTCACCATTCTCAGTGTTCTCATTTCCTTTGTTTTTGTTGCATGTACTTAAGTAGATGTTAATTTGACAGTTTGTTTCTAGTGCTTGTGCACAGCAAAATAAAAAAACCACAAAAAACTGTGATCCGAGAAGTGCTTTTTTTTAATGGAATTACAAGAACTAAATAGTAAGTATCCTCCTCACTGCTCTTAAAGGCAGAGCAATTCAACATCTAAATTATAACATCTCCCATCATTCCTGGCTGTCTATTATGAACTCCTTTTTCCTCTTAATATCCTATATCAAAGTGTGTTTATATGTTTGAATGAACCGTGACTTATTTTAGTTATATTTGTATTTCATTTCTTGAAACATGGTAGCATAAATACATTAGTGTGTACTGATCAGTTGTTATAGGATAAAGATGGAACGGGGGGTGAGGCAAACTAAGGCAAAATATTCTCAGTAGGTAGTAGTAGTAGTTTTGGACAATGTAGGAATAGCTTTCCTGATTGTCTTGAATCCAGACAGCATATAAAGTAGTGGAGGGATGCAGAAGGCAACCACTACTAAGCTACTATGAGTTAGAAAGCACAACTTCCTGAGAGTCTCCAATCCAGCACAATCAATAACTGGACCATGAGTCTGTTTTGGGAGTAGTCACCAAAGGGACTCTCTTAATAGTTTTCACCTCCAAATTACTAACAGTGGTTTCTCAGGTTCCCAAAAGAAAGCATATAGAATAGTTTGGTGGATAGTGGGTGTCTACAATCTCTTTGGAGCCATAGTAGTGATAGAAGGGGGTGGGGCTATGGTTATTTTCCAATTAGTTCCTGTTGACTTGAGTCAAACAATCTGCTTGTATATGATAGGAAAGGTGAGGAGCTCCTATCCTTACCTGCATCCTCATAATTTATGCAAGAGAAGAACTTGTGAATTGGGAGTGGGGTGGTTCGGAAGAGGTAAAGTAGTTTGAGTAGTAAAATCATCATTACCGCTATGAGCCACCCTAGTCAGGTGATTTGGAGCGTGAATATTTGCTTAAATATCTGTTTATGGGGTTGATCGCAGTATACAAAGAGCATACGTTCTTGGTCATCAGGACCCCATTTGAAAAGGTACTGTGCTTGTAGAATGTGGAGAGTAAATGCCGAAAGTTTTGTAAACCTATATCTCTAAGGATTAGGTTTTCTGTTAAATATTGATTAATTGATGTAACAGGTGGAACACAGCAAGTGGAAACCACACTTTTGTAAAGATGCAATCAATCAAGGAGATTCATTTGAACTGCTACATAATAAAACAAAGTGGGGGACAAATATGAATTTAAAAAAATATGTTTGCAGACAAAATGCATCAGAAAGACAAATATAGAATATATGCCTGCTCTTTTACCTATTTGGGTTCCTTACTCAATCCATCAGTTGTGGTACTTATTTTACATGTAAATCTCTGATGTATTTTACATAAATATTTGATATAGTTTACTTATTTTGACTTTCACACTTCTTTGAACTGCTGAGAACAACGGAACATAAGCCTGAATGTCTGAGAAATTTAAAATATAAACATCAGATAAAAGTCAATTTTATAACATTTAGATGGACAGAATATGGTTTTACAGTTTCACTCTCCATTTTTTTCCTCTTTTTATTTCTTAATTCCATATATCTCTTTGGTTTTACATCTGAAATACTACAACATATTTAGGAGATACAACAGAGAAACAAGGTATAAAGAAGACAAGAATCTCGAAAAGTTATTTTATGTGAATGCTTTTCATGTGGTGAATGCAACGTTGACTATCTTTTGACTTGTATTTATAGAGATTATAACTATTTGAAAGGATGAAACAGATGACATGCAGTGGGTACAGTAGTTATACCAATGTAACCCTTTTTTGCCCTGCTCCTGGCAACAAGCCGTAGCTAGCAGCCGTTACACCGTCTTCTGTCGCTGACAGGGATCCTGAGCCTCTGCTAAAGTTGGGAGATCGGGACATCTTGTTCTGATGCAGTGCCTCCACTCAGTGCAACTTCTATTTATGGGGAACCCACCCCACTGAGTAGATAAGTACCCTCCACTTAATAACTCAGAGACATGAAATAACTACAGACATAGAAATACACACTGTATTGTGGTTTAATAGATAGACATATAACAGCAGAAATAACAATGCAGTTCCTGGCTAATGTTAAATGATGATAAAGTCCCTGATATAGTCACAGGAGTCTTTAGCAGCAGGAAGGCAAACAACAAACTTCCCTTAATAACATCAATAACTACATCTGAACAGTTAAACTCCTAGGTACCTGCAGGTAAATTATGTGCACAACGTTGGGGCCCTTAGGTGTAGGTAGCGCTACCCAGATACAGTTATAAGGGAGAATCCTGAAGCAATCTCTGGAGACAGTACCTTTGAGTGACTTCTGTATCTGCAGATATTTCCAGAGAGATCCAGCAGAATGTAGGACAGCAGCAGAACAGCAATGGCAATCCTCTCTCTTCCTTCTGCTGACAGGATGCAAGAGCTCATTCACACTCCTGCAGAAAGTTCCAGAATCTGCAGGGAGCTGAACATTAAATAATACTCTTCTAATTCTCCTAGCAGAGCAGTAGACAGTCTCCAACTTTTTGTAGTTGCAGTGCATTAGCCTTCCCCTGTTATTATTTCACTGTCCCAGCAGTAATAGATAATTGAAACAGGTAGGAACACACTTTCTTTAACCCCCTTAAGGACACATGACATGTGTGACATGTCATGATTCCCTTTTATTCCAGAAGTTTGGCTCTTACGGGGTTAAGCTGACTCATAGAACATGGCTTCTCCCCTGTCCGCTTTTTCCAGCCATTCTAGCCCTTCCTTCTCACATGACAGGCAATGGGCAAAGTTCAATATCTCAAAACTTAAAGCAAAACAGTAAAATATAGCAGTCTGTTACACCAGGATGTACATAAAAATGTTTTGAAGATATTACATCTTATTCCAACCATGATGTGTGTATCTGTTTTGTAATCTCAACAAGCTTTGAACTCATATTTAAACATACAACCGTTACTATATTCAATTAAGCATTCTCAAACAGTTATCTTACTTCTGCATGGAATTTCAAACCTCAATACAGCAAATGGACACAACCTGAAGCAAACAGAATTGGCAATGGACGAACTGTTTCATTTGTTTTGTGATTCAGAGTTCTGTCCATGGTGCCAAAGGAAAAACAAGATTGATAGGAAAAAAGGCTGATTGATGATTATGGGATAGCCACGAAATGTTATTTTTATTGATACATCAAGAAAGAAGTGACCAAAAGTAGAAAATTGAGGAGCAATAAAATAAATGTATATAAATTATATTTAATAAATAAATGATAAATAGATGATATATAAATATAGTTTTATTTTTTTACTGCTCCTCTTCTTTTTACCTTTATTGTTTCTTTTTTCTCATCTGTGAACTAAATGAGCCAAGTGTACTGCAAGATATAGACATAATTTTTATATTTTGCAGCACACTGATTGGCCAAGTTTATGCCCTTTTAGTTTACCTTTGAATATTGGAGCTATCACTTAGATGAAATTTGTCAGAACAGAAAGGTCACATGGATAAATACTTCAGGCAAATAGGGCATGGGATGATCAATTTCATACATAGTCCATTTTGACCAGTTCCCGAGAAAGAGTCACCCTTACCAAGGCAGGCTATCTGTTGTTTCTTTGCCCAGGACTGCATTTTTCCTTCCCAATAAGAAAATGAAAATGGGAAAAGTTCAGGACAATTAGCCACCAGTCTTGTCAGGGTATGTATGAGGTATTTATCCATTGCAGTCAAGCACATATTATCATGTTATTACAATTTGCAATTAGGTCATCTTAAGAAGACAATGACATACAATCCTGCATTTTGTTATTGGGGTAATACTTATAATGTACTTGCCAAGGTCAATATTGTCCAGGGCTGCATGAATTTTAAAATATAACAATAAAATCTAACAGTAGATGATAGTTTGGATAGATTGAATCAACTGGATTAGATTTGTTTGAATAATGTTATCAAACCTGCACAAATGCAGAGCATGCAATTTGTTCTGTTTAAACTTGCTGAGCAGTAAACCTCTGTTGCAGGTATCTCTGTTAGGCTAATTTACAGTACGGAATTGTTTGTGTTACACTAAAGATGAATGTTTCTTAGCTTCAACATATTAGAAATCTTGTAAAACCGGTTGGTTTTATAGTGTAGAACTTCTTAAAGGGACACTATAAGTACCGAGATCACTTCAGCTCATTGAAGTGGTCTTTGTGCAGTGTCCAAGCTCCACATGGCCTATTCGCCTGAAAATGCAGTCCTTTCTGTTCTGAAAAATTACATCCATGTGATAGCTCCTGGAAAAACGACAGCCTGTAGTGGCTGCCAATCAAACAGGTGCACTTCCTGCTTGATAAGGACATCCAGCATCAGCTAAACCCCCATATGAAAGCATTGCAGCAGTGCTTTCGTATCGAGAGGGCCTAATACGCTTGCGGCGCTTGCCACACATGCGCATTATTGACCCCCCTCGGATGACATCCGAGGAGACGGAGCACCGACTCACTAGTATAGTACTAGGAATAGCTTTGTATTTCTATCATTATAGTTTACTTTAAACAAAATATTTTTTGGTTTCACTTTTGCAGTTTGAAATTTTAAATGTTATTACTTTCTTCCTGCTAAATCATAAAGCTAATTCTAAACGTTGCTGTACTACTCACTATCCCCACCATCCGGCTATTTTATTTTTTTTGCCGATCCTTTATTCTACAAGATCCCATGCTTCTCTCTGAAGTTATTGTAATGTTGAAATGGGGGCATACAGAGGGGATTGATCAATGAACAGTAAAAGGGACATTTCACTAAACAGCATGTTATAACACTCATTTTCAAAAATGTGAACAATTTATTCATTTATTTTTTAACCTGGCAGTTTAGAGATAAATGTTGCACTTTAAAAACAAAATTACCAAACTATACTGTTTTCTGCATTAACTTTCTAGGTTTCTGCCAGAATCACTTCTATTGTTTTTTTAAAATATATATATATTTACTCATGTATACTTAGAGTAGCCACCAGACTACAGTGAATGATTCTTATGAGAGTAGGGATGCAGATATCCATCGGGTGATTGTCCTTTGTCAATGCTAATTGCCTTTTATCATTAGCATTGATAAAGGGCAATCGCCCGAAACTTTTGCAATTTATATTTTCTCCTTCCAATAAATATGGTAGCACTCGAGTGTGCACTTTAAATACCTTACACATTACACCATTTTGTTCTTGCTTAAACACTTTTTGCAAACTGGACTTTCATCAAGAAAATAATGCATTTTCCAATTCAATGCCATAGGAACTCCAACAAAACTGTATATTATGTTTGCTAAGTGCATGTATACTTCACAAGTGATTATCTTGAGTTTCCAAATTTCACAGTCATTTATTGCAAAGTGCATACAACAATTTTCATAATACAATTTAGGGATCGACCGATATTGATTTTTTTAGAGCCGATAGACGAAAACTTGCTGATATTCTGTACATTACCATTTTGAAAAAATAAACTATTTCTAAAGG